GAGCATCTTCTCGAATACAGCGACGTTGCTCTCGCTGCCGCAAACGGTACCGATGTGAGCTCCGATGTACAGGTCTCTCAAGATGATAGGAATCGTGCAAAGGCCCTCCATATCTGGAAGACCAAAGGCAGTGGCAGCGAGGCCCTGGACTTCCTCCCCCGGAAATTCACCGCTGAACGCAACATCATTCAACATCTCAGCTCGCGCAACAGCAAGTCGGGACGTTACGACCGCAAAGCAGACTGGCAAGGCGCACTCATGACGATACCTCGCACGCTGCGTCTGATGTACGTCCACGCTTATCAATCACTCGTCTGGAATACCGTTGCAGGCAAACGCTGGACTATGTATGGCGACAGAGTCGTTGAAGGTGATCTCGTCCTCGTCAACGAACACCGCGACAAGGAGCTTTCCAACACCGCGACTGCCAAGGTAGACACAACAATTGACCAGGATGGCGAGATGATTATCAACCCCTCGGGCACTGAGAACGCAAATGCCCCCGAAGCCGACTTCGAACGCGCTCGCCCACTCACGGCCGCCGAAGCCGCATCAGGGCAATACACAATTTGGGATATAGTCTTGCCACAACCTGGCTTCGATATCGAGTACCCGCAGAACGAGATCGGTACGTTCTACAAGAAGTTCATGGGCAGTGAAAAGGGTGGAGGCTTAGATCCCTACAAAATGCGCAGGCAGTGGAGAGAAGTCAGTCTCAGTGGAGGCTACAGAAAGTTTCTTGCCAAGCCTTTGGGACCGCTGACTTATGCGCTGCATGATTATACAAAGCCAGACGAACAGTTTGTGGAAACGGATTTGCAGAGGCTGGGCAAGGAAAGAGATGTTTCGGGAAGGAAGGGAGAGGAAGGAGCCGCAGTTGAGGATGGAGATGGGGACATGGAAGATGGTAAGGAAAAGGATGAGGAGCAGGAGAAGAAGATTGCGGTTGTACTTAAGTTGCAGCTGGCAAGCAGCCAGTACGCCACCATGGCTCTGAGGGAGCTTATGAAAGCTGGTGGTGTCAAGGCGTACAAGCCTGATTTCATGGGTGGAAGGTAGTGAGCCCGGGGTTGATGCATCGTAATGGATCTCATGCACCAACAGAACAGCTGGCGAATTTCAATGATATGACATCAGATTCTCGTATACACATAAATGATACAGAAGAAATTGCTCGAACAGCATGGACCAACCAAAAAAGCCCCTCAAGTCACTCTTATCGCTTCATATTGTGACCAATCACCAGTCTGGCCTACACTTTCCATTTTCCCTGTCCCTGATGCTCAGCTCAAAACGGTTCATGAGACCCTTCCAGCAGAAATCATCTAACCCCGCTGTGTCAAGTTGACTACAAAGACATAGTCATACGACCGGGTCAAGGATAAGCTTGATCGAGCATTTGAACTCGCCTAGCCTGTTCGAATACTCTGTATGCTGCCTTCAGGCTCTCCAAAGCATGGACTCGCCTCTTGCTGAGCATTGTGTATTGGACCGCTGATGCGATGCACCTTCGTTCTCCCGGGTCAGCAGTGGTTGGCGGTCTTGGTATGTACACTCCGATCAAGACGGTCGCTACTCATACTTCTCCATAACAATCCGGCGACGCCGGTGCAGTGGTAGGCCTCTGGAGTATCGGAGGTATATCTAAGACAGCGTCTTTGCGGAAAGACCAGCTTACACGCGCGCTTCGGTCATGATTCTTTGCTGGTTCTTTTCCGGGCCCCTCGCTCGAGCTATAGTGCCAACCAAGCTCGGGAACAGGCAAGTCTTGTCTTCCTAAGATGGGGTCCATGCTTGTGCGCGTATGGCCTATGTCGGATGAAAGCGTAATTGCTTCCTCGCCGTTTGGTGCCAAAGATACGCTACTGATGGGTTCAAGTGAATATTCGATTCCTGGCTGCTTATCCTCGGCGCCGCAGCAGTCTCGATCGATTTCCGCAAGTGCAATATCATAATGTGGCGTTGAGCTACCGTGTGCGCTCTTTGGTGTATAAGATTGCTGCGTCGACCTTCCGCTTCTTGACAGTGTTGTGGTGTTGGACCCGGACAGCGCATTTGAGCCCCTTGCTCGATGAAGGACGTGTTTGAAAAGCGGTCTTAGCGTTGCTATACACCCGGCAGTGATGCAAGCACCTGCTTCTATTGTACTCCAAATGGAAACGTTGACTACGTTCCAAAAGAAATCCTTGGTCCTCGCAAGTCCGTCTATATAGGGGAAGCGTATGATCGAGCAGATGCATCCACTGTAACGTGTTAGAGAGAATAAACCGGGAGAGAAAATGGATAGAACCTACAGTGCTGCCAAGGACAGTACGAAGCCGATGGATAATTTAGACCTCAAGTCCATTTGGGCGTTCCAAAGAAGCAAGACTGGCAGTATAACGAATATTATATCTGTCAGAGCGCTGAAGGCGCCTAGTTGGGGTTTAGTTAGTATATTGACATTGGAGTAAATGGAGCAAAACATATGCGTACCTTGCTGATATCCCATGAACAAGTCGGTGGATGCAGAAGTGCAGTTATTGGTGAATTCGTTAAGGATGTATATGGATAGATCAGGTCCGCATCTGAAGAGACAGTAAAAGAAGGCAGTGAGAGACGATCCAATGTTGACGCCAGCTGTAACGTATATGATGATGAAATGGGCACGCTTAACGACGATGCGAGCAAAGAAGATACAGACCGATACCTTGATTATCATCATGGACATGATGTAACCGCATTCACTCATAAAGACCCACTGGGATGGTCAGTTGGATGCAGCATCAACAGATGAGATGTTTGGTACCGTGGTTAATTGTTGTTGACGTTGTAAACTGGTGACGTGTGTTCCTATACCGTTTGCTGCGATATATAATTGTGCTGTACAAAACACCGTGAAAACCATCTGAGGATGTTAGGTCTACAATGCTCCTAGAAGCAGGAATTCACTTACACAGGCGAGTATCATCGTAGCATCATCCCAACCAAAGTTTGATATGACACAAGTTCGCGTCCATATCCTCAACAGTAGGGAGAACCAGGCGATTGTCAGAAAGGCGATCGTGATTTGGTTCTGAAGTATTGCCGAGTTTGCCACATCGGTCGGACTGTGTTGACCCATGATCATGGGTTGACAGTATCGGTCGCGTCATACAAAGGTGGGTACGGCGTGACAGGTGATGTTGGTCGAGAGGTGCTTCTTGGAAGTGGGCCACATATAGGAGCATAAACGTTTAAAATCGCGCGAAAAGTGAGTGGCGTCGAGTCTACACATGCGCTACAGATGGATGCGATTGTTGAAAGTACGACACCCTGCTGTAAGCCACGCTAAACGTGACGGTACACGAGGTAGTGTAAAAGAAGTATTTTATCAGCGATGTATCATCTACCATCAAAAGAGGGCAACGAGGGCTACAGATGCTAACAAGGGCGTCGCCTCCTTGAAATCTTGAAATCACAGATTGGGCTGGAAACTCTCGTCGAGGGCTATGTTAGTTACACATATGGTTCATGCAGGGTGCCCGATAGAGGATTTTCGATTCCATCAACTGTCTCGTAGTCGGGGTATGTTCCGCTGCCGCCTCCAGATAGCGTGGAAACGCATTGAGGTCTCCAAGCGGCTGGATTGGTCGCGAGAGCATATAGCCCAAACGGATCGGGCCAAGCCGTCTTTCACACTAAGGCGGGGGAGCATCCGGTGCGAACTGAGCGAACCTTGGGCACTATTGGGCGGCGTCAAGTCTAATGACAGGATCGATTGCATGGCGGGTATGCATTCGAACGTAAACGGGCGATAGCGACCCGACGTTGATGCGGAGAGAGATGGTGCATGCTGCAGGTACAGCAGACTACGGGCGCGGAACGCCGAAGGGAGGTGAAGCACGTCGGTGCGCTTGGGCGTTTAAGCTCCCGACGCTCAACCACCAACATTTCCAGGCCTCGCACGCGGCAAAGTAGCCACTACCACAGAAGACCAGGCATGTCGCCGTTATAAAACTTAATTTGAAGACGTCGGCACATCAACCTGGATTCTCCTCTCGGCTGAACCTTGCCATGCCACACCTCGCTTGCATAACTACTACTAGGCCTCAACACGTGCTACTGCTACTGCAAAGCGCAGCCCCTGTAATACACGCGTTTACGTCATTTCCGTATTAGGTTCTGTCAAGCCTCGGGGGCGCTTCCCGGGCCCGTGATAGTACACTAGAGGTATGCCGCCATCACTTCGTCGCCGAGCGCAGCAGCACCACATGTCCCCACCCACAGCAGAAGAAGACTCGGATAGCGAGACGGAGCTAGGCCGTCAAGACGGTGATGATGACGTCGGCGACGGAGAGGCGCTAGGCGAAGAGGAAGAGGAAGAGCTGGATGACGACGAGGGCCTAGCATCACCAAATCACAACGACAACCCCCAACCTAATATCGACCCTCCGCCATCCTACCTCCGCGAGGTCAGTACCCTTGCATCATGGACAGTATCTTCTTCCAAACCAGGGTGTTCCATCCCGCAACTTCGACATCCCTCAACCAACCTATTCTGGCAATCCGATGGTCCGCAACCGCACTACCTGAACATCCACTTTTTCAAACTCGTGCGAATTGTCGGACTACGACTATATCTCGACTTCGAGCAAGATGAGTCGTACACACCGACCAAGATTATCTTTCTCGCTGGTAGTGGCATGAACGATTTACAAGAGTGGGGTGAGATGAGATTGGAAAGCCCGCGGGGATGGATATGGGCGGATTTCAGCGGTGTAGGAGATGCAGATAGTGAAGATGACGACGGTGGGGACGATGACGAATCTGATGAGGATGATGATGGTGAACAGCGCAGACAAGAGCCACTCCGCATCACCGCAGCACCAACAAACACAAACGGAAGACAACGTGGTGCAAATGAAGCAGCTTCCTCCGACTCTGAGAATGCCGCTCCACAGGATACCGAGATCGAGACTCCAGTGCAGAACCAGCATCACACCCCAATGCCAGCGTATGACCCTCATCAAACCCCTCAAACTCAACATACCCACGACCTCCGGCACCGCCCCCATCAACAAATGACGACCCCGTCGCTCCATGCAACCTCGACGCCTGCCATGCCACGCCCCCAACCCCGCCAGCCCTTTACGTCACTCTCACCGAACCCGGCGCCCCGCTCACCTCCTTCGACACGGCAGCGACCCCCTAAAATGCCCGTGCTAAGAGCACATCTGGTCCAAGTCAAGATCCTAGAGAACCATCAAAACGGCAAGGACACGCATCTACGCGGCTTACAGATTTTTGCCAGAAACGACGAGGATCTGGGACGGAGTGGTCAGGAGCATGGTATGCGAGGCGATATGAAAGCAGTTACTGGCGTGTCGACCCCAAGCGTACACCTTGCAACAGGCAAGGAGGCTGTGGTGAGGAAGCTCAAGGAAGAGCGGTTGGAACTGGGAAGAAGCGCATGGGATATGGAGGGCTGCATACGTTGAGTTCAAGGACATGTACAACATGATCAACTACGACTCTGTCAAGGATCAAGTTTCAAATAATTGTATTATGATAGTAGAGCTACGCCGACAATTGACAAACCTCCCCTAATACATATACTGTTGCAAATATCCGACTTTTGGTGTCCTAGTCCTCTCTCCTAGCATCTATGGCTAGATGAATCTGGGATATCTCAAGTCTACACAGCGCCTACTATCGCCTGTAATCATTATATTGACGCCCCAAATGAGAAGCAGCGGTGCTTGAGTAACTCCGCTGCTGTAAGTTTTCACCCTCTACACGCTCCTTGCTTTGTTTTCGTGTCACTCGTAATCGAGACGTGGAAGTTGCTTTGTTCCCTAAAACTTTCCCTTGCCTCCGGCCTCGTCCAGAGTGTTGTTGATGTCTTTTGGCTCAGATTCTTGCTCTGGTCTCGCCACAGACTCACTCCTCTGACTCTTCAACGACAAATGGCTTCCCTTCTTGTTAGGCTTGCGGGCGTTGCTCGCTGAACGCTGAAAGGCGTTCTCCTTGCCATTCGTATACTCGTCCTCGATTGCATCGCCAGCATCCTCGACCTTGCCAACAAGGTCCTTGGCTATCTGCCTTGCCTTCTTGGATGTGGCATCGGCACCCTCATCAAGTTCCTGCAATTTCTCACTGACTCTGCGGTTCACGTTTTCCAAAAACTTCTGGTTAGCGGGGCTCATGCTGCCCTGCCTCTCGTCCTTGATCTGGCCGTTGGCTGGCTTTCTTCCACGAACGGCGTCCCTAGCAATGTTTACACCAGAGGAGATGGCGTCTTCAGCTGACTTGTCAAGGGAGTCAAGTTCACGTTCTACTCTACGGCTCGCGTCGCCGGCTGCGTCGGAGATGGTGCGAGGCTTGGAATCGCGCTTGGTGTTGGGCGATGAGCGGCGGAGATAGGACTTGAAGAAGAAACGCATGAAGAGGATGGTAAGAGGCGCTAGGTAGATCAGGTTGACGTAAATGGCAAAAGCTTGGCCCGAGGTATCGACACATGGAACAGTCTGGTACTCGTTGCGGTAGAAGATCTTCTCAACAGTCTCGTGTGGGTGGAAGAATTCGTGTACTGCGTTCTGCACGGGAGCTGGCTCGTTGACAACCACTTGTTGCTGCTGGCGGATCGGAACTGATTCGCCTGGAATGGGTACGTTCTCTGCGAGACCCTCGTCGCCGGCTGCACGGTAGATGAGCCTCCTGAGGAAAGCCACACCGACACCAGTGACAGTGGGCAGAGCTTCCGCAACAGACTCGGTAGCCGAAGCGACGGCAGACGAGACTGTAGAGGAGACCTTGGGCGCAACCTTCTCAGCGACCTTGTATGCTACCGAAACGGGGACGGTGTAGGAAACGAAGAGATGTATGGCGGCAAAGGCAGATCCAACAAGGAATTGGGTGATCTGGAGCGTGGTAAGGGTTCGCTTGACAATGTTTGGGACCCGGAAGCCAAGGGCTGAGACGGTGTAGTAGGTGTACTGGAAAAAGTCAGTGGGGGGATTGTCAAAAATGTGAGGAAGTGCGCACCATCATAGCGTGAATGCCAGAGTTGACCAGAGCAAACATCCAGATAGGTGGGGACATGAAACGCATTCCAGCCCACATGGACAGCATAGCGCCGGCGTGGTGGTACTTCTGGAGTGTAGTGCTTCGCTTGCCCTTTGCGAGAATGATGGCCGTGTCAAGGACTTCGTAGAACTTGGACAGGTAGAACCACCAGCCCCAGAAAGCCAGCCCCTCATTCCAAATTCTGCCAACGTCGCTCGTGTCTGGCATGCCATTGGGTCCGACGAGGACCTTGGGGTTGAGGCTGGCCCAAGTGTCGTTGTTGGTGCGGTACGTAACGGCGTCGCCCAGTCCGCGGGGACCGTGAATCTTGCAGAGAGCGTCGATGGTGCCGACAACGGCATTGGGCTCACTGTAGTGGGGGAACGAGTGCTTCAAGCAGCGGATCATAGCCACGCAAGTGACAGCTGAGTAGACAGCCAGGAAGACGTTGTGGAAGATAACAAAGGCGTAGAAGGGGCGCGTCTTTGCGATCCTCCACGGCTTGTTTCCATGTTGGCGGTTGTACCAATTGACGTAGGTGACGGTGACGAAGTAGACGGAGGCGATGGTCAGCGGGACCTTGTACGAGAGGGCTCCCTGATAAATGTCCTCGGGAATGGGGAATGGGTTGGCGAAGGTCGACTCGCCCGTCCATGGGGGAGGAATGGGCAAGGGCGCGGCATCGGGGGGGAACTGGAGGACAGCTCTTGATGGCCAGTCGCCAGGGTGGAGAGAAGGACCTGCACCAGACATGATGGCTCTGTTTGCAGTTGTGCAGCGACCTGTAAAGGTGCGGGAGGGAGCCTGTGCGTGAGCGGTGGAGATGGGCGTGTGGTCAGCGCGGCGTGGTGAGGTCAGTGAGGTCCCGAGGCGGGTGGCAGATTTTGTGTGGCCCAGATGGGTCAATGCCCAGCCGTTACGCTAATATTGCGTATTCGGAGCAGTTCTCAACAATGCGGGTGGGCTTATCGTCGGCGCGCGTCGTCAATGCGGGCGGTTGTTGAAGGTGCAGCGATTGTGTTGATTCCAAACACGCGAGGCCTCTCAGCGTCCGTTCTGCTCAGCGCACAAACCGGGGACGGCGCGCACAAGGTTTAAGATATATCCGCAATTGAGTGCACAGTTAAACCCGGACGAAGCACGGTTGTAGCAAAGCTTGCATCGGCCCAGAGGCTAGAAAGAGCAGGCAAGAGGCTTCTGGACAAAGGTTCTTTGGCTTTGGTTGAGAATTTAGCGGATGCGCAACTTTTTTGGCGAATAACATGTCCATGACGTGCCGAGGCAAGCCACAGTCGGCTGCCACTGGACCGCCAGGCCCCCTTCTAACCCGCAGCCAAGAAGGACCATGACCGCGTACCTAGCTGTCATCTAGGTCGTGGGAGGTGAGCCTCGCAAGGCTAGCCGTTTCTGGCGGCCACCGTATACGTATTGTCTTTCTTCCACACGGCAGCAGTGTCAGTGTCGTTGTCGAATCCTGTACGCCTCGGGAAACTTGTAGCAGGGATGTGGCAGGGTGACGAACATGTTGAGGGTCTGACGGCCCCAGCGTACGTACATGGGGGAAGGAGCGACTCCCGCTGATCCATAAACTGGGAAGTGACGTTGGGGCAGCCACCGCTAAGGGACTGCCTGCCGCCAACAGGGTATACATACACATGGTGGCTGGAATATCTGCAAGTATAGATACATCTACTCAATAAAGCCCTAGAACTTGGGCTTGCTACTCAGAGGAATTGGCGGTGCTTCGCCCGAGCCGTTGCCCAGCTCCTTCTTCTTTGGCGGAGGCGGTGGTGGCGCCTTCTTCCCTAGTCCTCCTCCCTGGCTGCCCTGAATCTGTGTTGGCGACTGCACTGGTGGGGGTGCTGCTGCTCCACTCGACGAGCCTAAGCTGTTCATCTTCCCCATGATGCCGTACTTTTGGTTGAGCGAGTTGGCCGACTTCCACCCAGATGCAACCTGATCGCCATGCCGCTGCTGAAAATTATTTGCCGTCGATGCTGCCCCTTTCAAGTCAGATGCCGAGACTTTGGATGGGTCGTTCCGGAGGTTGCTAGCTGTTCGAAGTGCCGCCTGTTTGTCCGCCCATGATGTGCCTGTCGTTGGGGGCGGCGCTGGTGCTGGTGTTCGTGATTTGGGTCCTGTCAACTTGGCGAATCTATTCTGAAGTTCGTTCATCTGCGAGCCATGTCCGCTCGCAACAGGCGGCGGTACAGTTGTGCTGGAACTAGACTTCGCTCGAGGAGGGACAGGTGGAGAAGGGTTCGCACGAGGCGGTACGGGAGGAGAGGCTGTCCGACCGATGCCAAAGCCAGGCACGGATACTCCCGCTTGACCCAGACGACCCAAAGCCCCCTGGTTCAGCCCGCCATGTGAAGCCGTCTCTTGCTGTGTAGCCTCATTGTATGTGGGTGGAGGCGCGGCGGAGAATTCATGAGGATTCGAGTTTTGTCGCGGAGGCAGTCTAGGGGGAAGACTCGGTTTCGGTTTCGGTGCAGAGCCTGTAGTTGTTGGCGATGCAGTACCTGGGCGGAAAGCAGGAGGCTTGGGCAGGTGTGCTGTGCTTAGCCCTGTGGTGTCGCGTCTATATGGGCCTGGGGCTGGTCGGTTGTCTTCTGCCTCCTCTTGCTCCTCCGTTCGAGACGATGCGACCGTAGAAGGACGCGTACCCGATGATGCCGGCACAGCATTGTAGTTCACTCGTTTTGGCGGCGGCGCAAATGAGGCTGGATCTTTCAACGACGACAGGGGCGCGGATTGATGTTCCCGAGCTGATTCGGCATGCACGTCTTTGCCTTGGGCCTTTCCCACCCAGCCTTTCTGTCACTCGTTAGAAATCAGTTTACACATGACAAGGTACAGCTTCACGTACCACTTGGCCTAGCTTAGAGTCGCTTTGCCCCCCAGCACTGCTGCCACTATTGGCACGGCTCTTCTCTGGATGCCAGCCGCCCTTAGCAACAGACTTGAACTTGTCCATGTTCGCGAATAGATTGTGGGGTCCAGCGTAGTGAATCTGTCCGCGGACAGCGGATGTGTACGGGCCGATGAGATCATCAGCCAAGCGCTGCTCTAGCAAAAGTCACATCGCCGAGCCTCGCGCCTAACTTTTGCAGCCGAATGGCAACCGACATCATCTTGGCCTTAGCAAAGAAGCACGCCATATGCAGCCTAATAGATTGCCGTCAAACACGAACTACCCGGCAGCCAAGTAACAATAACATAGGGTTTCTATTTCAACACGCCATCTACACATGTGATCGGGCAGTTACTAGCGCACGGCCTGCTAAATAGCAACGGTATGGCGAACGAAAAGCTCCGAACAGCATGCAGCGGGGCAGTCATGCAGCAGTGTGTCCGTAGTCGCACGTTTCACCTTCAATTAGCTGCAGTCCCCCCTAGGCTTTTGTACATCCGGCGTGCGACCCCACCTCAGATAAGACGAATAACTGAGGCCGTAGCCTGTAAGATTCAGCCATGTTCTATCCGTGGCATGGCGGCGGCCAATCACATGAGCTACACCTCAGCTACCAAGACGATGAGAAGCGATCTGCGCATTGGCATGCCGTCGAGTAAGTCCGACCGATTCATCATCATTGCAAGATGAGTTCATCGTAAGCACAGCAAACAAGCATACAAAAGTGTGAGAGAGTGTGCCATCTCTGGGCCATGCAACAAGAAAATCAGGAATGTGTGCTGAGCATGCAGAGATCCATCTCCACACACTAAGCTTTCGTAGATCGGCAGCTAGGGAGCCCAAAATAACTATCCCGAGCGGGTGGGGTTTGTACGTCTCCAAGCCATCGAGGCTGAGCCCGGCCTCTAAACCGTCATCACGGCATGTAGCCAACCACGCCGACTATCCGCAGCCGGTACTTCGGCCTTGGGCTGCAGCACACGGCGAGATACCCGAAGTAAGATGCCTGCGCCTCCTCACTTTGCGGACCTGTCAAAGTATCTTCCTCTCGCTCCCTGTCACTTTTCATTCTCTACCTTGAACATCAAGTCTGCTACTTGTAAAACTTGACTATACTAAATTCCGCCGTCAAATACACTTGACTTACAATTTGTCGTGCTCCCTGCTGTCATCGAACGGACCGCCAACGTCAGAACTGGATTTCGTTTCGGCCCCGCATCTCCTACTACTGGTTCGGTCCTGGAGCATCATCACCATAGCTCAGCTCCTACCTTGGCCATTTTCAAGAATCAGGCGTCCGGCACCATCACTGGTGTTAGCATCTGACGCACGTCTGCAGTCTTCGTTACCGCAGCAAGAAGCTGCTCTCATCAGCGGTTCGCCCAAGTCGTAATGGCTCCACAACTTCCGCAACCACCTCCGCCCCCTCCACAGGACGGAAAGAAAAAGGACGATAAAGATGATAAAGATGACAAGGATGACAAGGAAGATAAGGATGATAAGGATGATAAGGGTGGAAAGCCGCCGCCACCACCTCAGATCACTCCACCCATTGTACCAGCGCCAAACACATCTCCGGACACAACGATGGTAACACCTCTGCTTGCACCTGGTGAGGGCCAACGGCCAACCAACGTCCCTGGCGCTCGGCCTGAGGAACATTCATCGGGCTTTTCACGGCCGCCATACGCTTCACCTTTTCCCACCACGGCTACCCAATCTGCATTTACGTCAGCAGCGACACCCTATGCAGGCGGTTTGGAGAACCCATCGCAATCCGATACTCCCACCACTATTGGAACATCGACGCAAATGCCAGGTCAGCCACCGAGTTCAATTGGAGGTCGGCCACCAGATTTGAACTTGCCAAAAGGGGGTGCTAATCATGCACCGTTGTATGCCGCTGCCGCAGTTGTTCCGGTCATCGTCCTCGGTATTTTGGGGGTTGTCGCTTTCCTGTGTTTGCGCAGACGCAAGAAAAGGAAGGTGGAAGCTGCTTCCATTGAAGAGGAAGAGGAAGCGGAAGCGGAAGCGGAAGCTAAAGTAATGAAGCTGGAAGCAGAAGAGTCAAAGGTACTAGAGGAACAAACGATACGACGTTATATGGCACCGTCGCCGCAAGCTGCATTGCCCTCAGAAGAGTGGGATCAGCCACCGAGCGAACTTCGACCTACATCGTTATGGAGTCAAAATCATCCGATCATACTGGGACCCATCGGATCCGGCTCGAATGGTGCCTATCTCACTGGAATGGATACTTCAGATATGGTGTCGATTACATCAAATTCGCACAGACCTGCAGATCCGTTTGCAGACAATAGCAGCTTCGCAGAGCCACCGCCGCCGTATCGACCGCATAGTGCTGCGCCGCCCAGCTTCATGTCAACTTCGCGCCAAAGCAGCCTCAGGATGTCAATAGCCAGAGCTAACTCGCGAGCGCGCTTCGTAGCACGATCACCCTTTGATGATCCCCTTGACGACGCCGTTTCCGACCTGTCGGGACCTACACTTGAGCGAGATGACGACTCAATGTCGGCAGTCTCACGTCTCTCGTATCAGAGGGATCCTACCATGGGTAGATTTATGCGATAGTCTTTGGCATAAGCACCTACTATGGACGTAATGAGAGGCATCTCTGGGATGCTGGACAATCTTGGAGGTAACGAGCTAAACAGAAGCCTGGGGGGCAATTTCGACCATGATGGGTGTGTAATACAACAGCTCTTTTCTTGTCTTTCCTTTTCCTGTACCTATAACGATCCGCTATAAAAGGGTTACTTTTTCCTCAACGTCTTTCGGTAGGCCTTGATTCCGTTACGTTACGATAGCATGGGCTTCGGAGTTGGTAATGGTGGGATGGGACACGGCATGTCCATGCGCTACGATATATACATAATAGCTATGACGGGAATAGAGACGCTTGTGACGTATGTCGCTTCCAACAGCCCCTCTCATTTCGCTTGGCCGAGGGCTAGAGCGAGATAGTTGTGCCTGCCAAGCTCAACAGCAGGCAGGCACGAGATAGGGATGCAGCAACTTTCTTTTCTTAGCCTCACCGGTGATGCGCTTCTGCAAACAAGGGAGCTGAGTAGCAGTGTACCTTGCATGAATGGATGGGCTGGCGCCAGAGTGGCGATGAAGATGCCAGGGATATGGTTTGTACTTGACGGAATTGGCCAAGTACAAGTGAGAGTGAGACGATTCACTCTGTCGTATAGGGTAGGCTGGCGTGTGGCTTGGTGGTTGAATGGTTAGAAAAGTGCAGTCCTGCGAGGCCGGCCCGCGATTCGCCGGGGCCAAAGGTCGTGTTCCAGGTTCATGGGATTTGCATAATGACGCCTAGATTAACGGGCGTAGTCGGTGCTGACACATGAGCATCCATCGACTGCCAGCTGGCAGCGGCGAGCACTTTGTTTGTTACTTCTTTATTCTCTACCTAGCAGGCGCCCCTGGGCGAGGGCAGGTGAAGGACATGTGGAGTTTGTCGTTGGATAGGTGTGACTGGCTCACGGGGTCACGGCGATTTAGCGTCGGGTCCTAGACTCGTACTGTAGACAAGCTGGAGACGTCAGCGTCGGCCTGTCATTGCTACCCATCTCATCGTCACGGCACGCATTACCCCAAGCCATGGTGCAGTCGTTCCGTGTCCGTTCGCGACTTAGCTCATCGTTATGTACCTCGTTCAGCCGGAGCCTCTCCCCCCATTCGCTGCTAGTTGGGTCGGCTGCACGAAGCTTCGCCTGGCTGTCGGCGACGACGCTGAGCAAACTCCATGCCTCCTCCCTGCCATGACCACCCAATAGTGACAGCCTCGCTATATCGCCATGAGCAGCCCCATGCGGCACGGTGCCTGAGCTAGTAGAAGTGCCCCAAGGGCTCAGGAGAAAGGCACTGCACTGCTTTCTTGCGCCATTGCTGCGTGCGTGTGTTGCTGCGGCGGGTCACGATCGGTACTATTCAATTATTCATCTTTGCCGAACTACAACCTTTTGCATTTGCAGCTTCAGTTCCGCCCCACTGCCTCTCCTAGTACGTGAAGAAACCTTTCACCCTCGGTTCTTCCCACAGACTGCAGGAGCCCAGCACCTCCCCAAGGAAGCCGCGAGCCTGCTCTTTCCCTCCCGATACGCTGCCGTGACGCCCCTCGCTCGGTACCTGCATCTTCAACGTCTCACAGCGCTGCCATCTCCCCTGCTACCGCCATTCAGGCGTACGACCTCGGTACTATCACCGCTCCGTCGTCTGTCCCAATTGCCTCTGCTCTAGCCTGCAACCCGACAGCAGCAGCGGGAGCAGCAGCAAAACTCCGCCAGAGCGTCCGCCATCTCCGCCTCACCCCCTTCCGCCCGCTCAACATCACCATCGACGTTGCCGACGACATAGTAATAGTAGGTGCTACATGGTCTGTAGAGGAGGAACACTGTGGTATTGGGCTTGCTATGGGCTTGGATCAGCATATACATGGGTACGGCTCCCTCCTACCTAGTTCCCGTTCCTATGTTTGTCTAGGAACCGTATACGTCTTGAAGTTTTCGGGCCGGTGCAACGAGCTTCACAGATATAATGGCTGCCGTTTAGCGTGGCTGCCTACTGCAAACGCCGCATTGGACCCAATAGAGGCTTGGTGTAGGCCTAGAAGCAGGCAGCACCGCACGCTTGTCATCCGAAGCTCAGTGCCAACCCGCCCTCAAAAATGCATTCCAGCAGCGCCTGCCCATTTTGTTGCAAAAGAAACTTTTCCTCCGAATTTCTCTGCTTGTCTTTTGGCTAATTGCACTTTTCTCGATTGCTCAATGTTTCGGTTCGCAGCTGCAAGTGCCCCAGGCTAACGTGGGTCGCGTGCTAGATCGACCGACTGGCATATACCAAGTCCTTCCTCGACGCCCAAATCGCTGACGTTCCCGGACGCAAGCCTCAAGACACCCAAGACGGAAACTTTTGCACACTCACACTTTCTTGACGCTTGGGCAACCCCGCTACCCAATGGTCGGCATACCCCTGTCCAGACACCCTCGTTTACACTGTCGACGACCATAGACCGACCCTTGAGCTCCTATAGCCAACCCGTCCGCACCCCCGAGGACCCGGACTTTCATGTCAACCATTTCGTCCCTCAGAACCTTCCCTTGCCACCCGTCGACGCCTCGCGAAGGCTGTCATCGTCGCCAGATCCTAATAAATTCACGAGGCCTGGCCGAAACCCGCCATTGTCCTCCTCGTCTCAGACTTCGCGCCCCGTCGCCATGGACTTTACCCATATGCAAACCCCACCCCCAACCAGGGATGCTTCGTCTAGGAGGGGTCCCCCACAGGGTGCAGCAAACGGCGCGGGCACACCTGCCACTGTAATACACAGGACGCCCGTCCAGGTACCATCGTCAGAAACCTTCTTCGACCAGACCCCATTTGGGTTTGGCAACTTGCAATACACTTCAGACATGATGCAACTTTCCGGTCTTGACCCAATGTCGGCGTCTCTCATGCCTCAGTCACGTCTGTTTTGGGATCCATCTAACGATGGTATGCAGATGGACCTGGATGTACCGTTGGGTGTAGATCCGTTCGCCTCTACGCCGCATCGCATGGAGCAAAACATGAACTGGCAAGCCTTCAACCATCAGGTAACTAATCCGATGCAAACACCAGCGTTCCAAAGTTTTCAAGCGTCACCAGGGCCCACGTTCTTAAATCCTCACGCGGAACAGGCACACAATATGAGGCACAGCTCGTTCGTAGCCACGTCTACTAGCGTAAATCCCAGCATGCTGCTCAGCACTTACGACCCCAATATGATCACTTCGCCTGAGACACTGCAGCTGCAGTCGTCTGTGAACGTGGGCTCGAGGCAACCTTATGAGACTCAGTTGCGCGACGCTCAAGCTGAAAGGGAACAGGTTAGAAGAGCAAGGAGCCAACACTCGCGCAGTAACACAAATTCTTCGTCTGGCTCAACAGAAAACGTAAAACCTGGATTGCAGCGAAGCAACACTGATAGTATGATGAAGAGTCGGTCACTGACAACAGAGGCCCGAATATCCATTCCAACCAACCTCTCTACAATTCCCAGACGTTCATCTCCACTAAAACGTCAAAATGGTGGTTCAATGAAAGCAATACCTGAGATCAGGAAGCCACGAACCCGCCTCATCATTGACGAAACTGGTCGAGCTCGCACAGAGACTGTTTCTGCTGATGATGACGATGAAACCCCGAGAGCCATAAGACGAGCATCACAGCAAGATCCTCGCCGACAGTATCCTGACCTGTACGAGCAGGAGGACAGTGGGTCTGAAGAAGATGAGCCGCCTCCAATCCTCAGTCGCAATGCCTCCTTCACGGTCCCACAGCCAGAACGGCGGGCACCGAAACATGCCCGTACAGATAGCGGTGGGTTTGAGGGAGGCGCGTCTTTCAAGGTGGCAAGGCCCGCGCTCAGACCAGCTAGTGCCTTTGATATAGCATCGTTCCAGTCTGCTCGACCGATACGACCATCTGCTGCAGAACATGCATCCCAAAGATCCGCCTCGGCTGATCACTCTCGAGATTCTGAAGTCCATTCCCCTGGGGATGCGCTAGGAGCGCTGAAAAAGATGGTAGGGGAGCGGCAGCAACGGATTGGTAGGACGGTCTAGTCATTCCTTCGCTTGACCTGCTAATAAAGCTAGAGCGTGCATCTCAAAATACCCTCAAAGCCCACAACCAACGATGGGCACAGGCCTCAGCTGAAATTTCCAACATTACCCCACCGCATGCCAATGGATTCATCCTTGGCCAATACGATCCCTTTACAAATACATTCAACGGCTCACCAAATAACACACCCTCGACCGATCGAAGTAGTCTCTCGAGCGAAAGTCGATGTATTTGCAATGGTGGCGTTGATGACGACAACGCACCCATGGTGCAGTGCGAGTCCTGCAACAAGTGGCTTCATATGGGCTGTGTCGGTCTTAGCAAAGGGGCTCTACCGCGCGTTTATGTGTGCGTCTTTTGTACCGGACAAACGCCAATCGCAAGGGGTGGACGGCTGAGAGGGCCAGTACCTTTTGAGTCGCCGCTCAACCACAAAACCATGTTCCGAAGATGAAGTTACATGTCCGGACCCACCATCCCTCTGCAGACGACCACTCAATCTACACCGCCTGCAATCTTTTCAAACACTTGAATTTTCCGAAAATCATATAAAGACTTTCCCAATCAAAATACCCTTGTCCCTTACTCTATCAGGATATCTCAAATCTACCCAATTCCGACGGCTCAGCATGAAATTCTTTACTCGGTCGCCCGTCTCGACCACCATATCGACTGTACCAATCTAGACCTCTTGCCCCTCGTCTTTTGGTATCTCCGCCATACGCGCTCGTTGCTTTACCGGTGGTCTAGTCTTCTCTTCGTCCCGACGGCACATTCCATGCCGGCAAAGAAGCAACAATAATATCATCACCTGTTTTCCTCAACTCACCACCCGACACACACACACACACCGAGACCACCCCCGATATCATAATGGTCTGCTGGTTTCAGATTGCTCTCGGTCACGTAATGTTTTGTTGGGTCTGCTGTGCTCTTGATTTGCATTTTCCTTCGCTTTTTCTAACGCTTGTATACGAGATGATGGCTTAATATGGTGATGACGATTTGCATGTATGAGGAGTAGAATGAAACTAGGATGCTCTGATGATAGGAGATTTTGGCTGGATAGATCCGGCGGTGGAAAGTTGTACATACGTCGTGGCCGCTGTGCTTGGTTTATTAGATAACAAATCTGACTAGATGTCATGACAAGATATCATGACAAGATATCATGATGTTTTCCCGTCCCTAACCCTCATTTTCCATTATGCTCTTGCACAAGTCTGAGACGGAATATTCATATATGGAAAATGGCTCGTTAATCCTAAGGAGTAGCTACCGGGATATCTGGAGTCATACATGGGGTAATAAGGTGACTATACACAAACCGATGTACAGACCCAGATGTGATAGCATGGTTTTACTTCTATTGGCATTGCTAAATGCTAACCCTTCTATAGTACATACCTGAAATATGGGTTCTCTTTGTCCGTTAGATCCATGAAAGCAAACATATCCCTTTCAGCTTCATCAACAGGAAGAGCGTCTCGCTTCTTGTTCTCAAGCTTAAGCACAACATACAGCCCTACAGCAGCAGCAACAGTAATACAATAACTAATCATTATTCATCAGCGTAGTGTTCTCAAAACATTCCACTCGAAGAACCGAGCTGGAGCAAGACAGAGACATACCATATGATCAGCCCCGTCCACAACTGCGGATAGTGCAGCACCTTATCCTGACTCTTGATCAACTGTGGTCCCACAATATTGCCTACGCAATACGCCACGAAAATCGCAGCGGCCATGGCGCTCTTCTTGGTTGCACCAGCAACGTTCGACATACCAACGACAATCGTCTGGCTGACCACGGCGCCGAAAGAGCCAATGATAGAGTATCCTGCTACAGGCGCTGCGGCATGATAGCTCCACTTACTCTTCCAGATCATGACGCAGCCCGCAATGACGGGGAGACAGTTTGCCGCAAGTAGGATGAGTCTAATATTAGGAATCCGCGAGCTGAGGTACCCGCACAACAGGATGGAAAAGAGACACAGGCCGCCGAGTGGAAACTGCCATAGTATCGATTCGAGCGTGGACCAGCCAAATGTACTAACGATAAGCGGACCAAAACCCGATACTGCGCCATTGACGGTATACGCAGACGCCATTAGGAGGAAAACGAGGTATAACTTGACATCTGTCGCCGCCTCTTTGAGTTGCGAGACCTTGATTTTCTGACACCGGACACCCGTTGCCCCCTTACGCAGACGCTCAACAGCAACGATGCGCTCGGTGGGAGTGAGAAACCACGCTTCCGCACAGGAGTTTGGAATGAAGAAACACCAGATACCAAACAACAGCGTCAGACACCCCGCGAGTAGGTAGATATACTGCCAGCGTTTAAGTGCCCCGGACGTAATCTGTGCGAACCCGTAGTTGAGCGCGCCACCGATAATAGTAAACAAGCCCGTGGAGCTAAACCACCAACTTTGTCGAATAGCTTGTTCGCGCTGGGTGTAGTAGCTCGAGACAATCGTCATGAAACCCGTTGGTATGATACTCTCCACGAAACCCAGGAAGAAACGCTGTGCGTAGAGGCCTTGGTGATTGGTCACGGTCGCAGTGAGCATGCAGATCAAAGCCCAGAGGATTACCACGCCGCCGAGGATACGGCCTAGATTGAAGCGCTGGAGGGCAAATGTCATGGGATAGAGGCCCGCGAGCATGCCGAAGTAAAAGAGGGATGTTGCCCATGAGAGGCGCGATGTATTTGTTGTAGGGGGATTGGTGGAGGTGTTGAGTGTGCTAAGGGAGAGGTCTTTTGTCATGCCGAAGAGGACGGCAGAGCCGAGGATGGCTTTGTCGTAGTATACTAGTCCATAGCCTGGGTGAGGTTTAGTGTGGTGGTTGTGGGTTAATTTTTTGGAACGTTGTCATGTTAATATGAAGGTCGTGTTGCACATACCGACTATCATGGCTGGGATTAGGAACCAGTCTATCTTTCGAAGAACTCGTGCTTCTATCTCTGGGTCGATTTCGCGTGCATGCTCTCCAACTAGCCCGATTGCAATGTCTTTATCTAGTGATACTGAGGTTGTACATGAGGCCGGGTCTGCATGAGAGGTAGGTGCCATGGTGGCAGCCTTCTCATCTGGTCGAGGAGCAGCCATGGTCGGAGGTTTGGTCAAGGTCCAAAATCACAGCTGCTAGAAGACGAAAAGATGCCAGGAAAACGAAAAAAGATGAAAATCGGTCTTTCTTCACAATCGGTTGCTTATACACACGGGCTTAGATAGACACGGGATGCCGCTCGAAGCTAGCGCCATATCGCACAATTCAGCCATGCGCGAGATAGACCTGTCTATAGCCATCTCCGCCTACATCGGACGCGACATTAAACACATTTTTCCAATCAGAATTGTGATTGGCGCGTTGGCTGATTCCATCCCGCGTGAAGTCGGTGGGACTCGAAATCTAGTACTGAACGCGTCTAGCGGTAAAGATGACATAATCAAGAAAAAACTTGCGCTTCCAGCTGTCCCGTCTCTACGTACCTACCACCAACACCAACGGTCTTCCATGTGACCATCATCACAACGCGCTGGTGCTCGCGTACTCACTTCATTACACGCGTAGTATCCCTACTGTTCTCGCTTACTGCATCTATCAGATTGTGGACTGTGCAAGCTGAACAAACACGAGGAGCTGAAGCTTTCTTTCCATTATAGAATTAGAAATGGTCTCTTGCCTCGCTCAATCCGCTGTTCCATCAGCGGATTTCGAGCTGGATGCGCAAACATTCCTTTTGGGGAAGTTTAGCGTACGAGACAAGAGTAAAAAACTGCGACGATCTTTGAGTACGGAACCGGCTGATATCTATCATGTGTCGGACCTTCGTAATTTATCAGTCGAGACATGCTTTTTGCTGTGCGATCTTATGTGTGGGCTGCAAGAAATGATGCACGTCAAGTTTATCACGATGTTTGAGATGCATTGGAAGGAACATACGCAAAACTCCCTTGATTGTATAAAGTATAAAGTAGGACAATGTCTGTGAATAGAGCTAACCTCATGAGCAAGTGAGGAGCACCAGAAGCCGGGCTGTCAAGGGCTTCCAGTCATTGACAATGGCAGTGTCTACTGCCCAAACAAAGTCAGAATGAGGCCCAAATCAATAGCATGATAATTCCAATCTGTGAGGCCATATGTCGCCAGAGTTACCCCGTCGCTCATCTCCAGCCGCCATGAAAAGTGCCTGATCGTAAGTAAAAGCATCGTATGACTGCACGGCGTTCTGGGAGCAGTCTCGCACATGCCACCTAAGGACCTGACATCCACCGGCTAAGCGAAGTCATTTATCAGACCAGTCGAGCAAAGTACAGTTGGTCACATTGGGTTGTTGTGGTCTCCGCGCGGGGAATACATCTGCCGGTAGTCAAGACAGAGGAGAAGTCAGCGGTGAGCAGCCTGCTACGGCTGCGCCTGCATCAATCAACCGCCTTGGCCGTTTGGTGGAGTACGCCCCCACTGACTATCAGCGTTGTCTCGGTAAGAGCTGAACAGTACTGGACTAGCCATGTTGGCACCGTTTGCATATCCATACTGCTGGTTGCTGGTGAAGTTATTGGCATAGGGTGAGCCCCAGGTGGAAGGACTACTTTGGGTTCCCCAGGCAGCGCCACTACCGATACCACCACTGAAACTACCACTCAGCGGCCTTTGTGCTCTGATGGTGCTAGGAGTGATGTTGTCAACGCTCAGGAGCGAGTTTGCTGAATCACCCCGCACATGACCGGACAAGTCGGTCTTTGTACCAATCATGGGCGACCTGCGCATATCATTTACAAACCCGTTGCTGTTCAACATGGACGGCGATGCTGGTCCAGGTGTGCGGTTCCAAATGGAGTTCGAGTTCCACTGACCGTCAGGGACGGAAGGTAGGTTCGGCAGCTGGCGAATAGATGAAGTAGAACCAGACCTGCCCATTGGCGTAGCGAGCAGCGTCGAGGGAGGAACCGGAGACAGGGGCTTGTAGTTCTTAACCGAGTTAACCAGGTCGTTGATGGACAGAGCTGCTGGCGCAAACATGTTGTCGTTGACGACGGCAGTGTCATCAAATGTTTGCTCGGGTGGAGTTGGCGGAATGTTCTCGTCTTCTTCAACCAACGGATCCAGCCCAGTTTCCCCTCCTACAAGATCATCTACCATATCGCGCATTGCGTTGTCCTTGGCAATGGTGGTAGATGCAGATTCTGAGCCCGCGGCGATGCTGTATGACTTCTGGTCTTCGGCAATGGGTGCCTCTATATTTTGAAATAGGGGCATGTCTGCCGCCTGCACAGAGAGAACCGGCGACCCTGCGGTTTGGTTGGTAGGACTTGCTAAGAGCTCAGACGGCAGGCCTTCTTCCCGATAGATGAAACGCGAACCAGCCAGGTCGAGATCCAAGGGGGCTTCTTCATTCTGCGTAAGGAGAAGACCGTCAATGAGCAAGTCTTTGACTCGCATAAGCATCTCGACGTTGGGATGGTTGCGCTCCAAGTCGGTCCATTTCTGCTTCATGTTGTCCCCTTCGTACCACACCTTCATGGTGTCAGGGTGGATCAACGGCTCGAATCCAATCGTGTCAGTGTCTTCCTCAAGCATGTAGTTTTCTCTCGGAAGCTGATCGACAGGGAAGCTCGATGCCAAAAGCGACAGGGTAGCCGCATATGCCTTCCACAACTCTTGCACATCGACAGTGTTCAGTGTGTCAGCAATGTTAGCGTTGAGAACTTTCCAAAAACGTGTAAACCATGTGCTGTACAGACGGAGTCCTGGGAGGATGCGACGAGCTACTGCAGTGATCTTGTCAGAAAGCTGAGTGGAACGGTCGCCATTTTGAAGTTTCACGTCGTTGCCTTCGAACAAGCGGTCCAGCTCCGGCTGCAGGATCTGGAGGAGGATGAAGAAAGTCTTGACGTTCAGGCGGAGGTAGTAGAAGTATGTGCGCATGACGTTCGGGGGCGGGTTTGCGCTCTGTAGCTGCACTGTGGCGAAGTATTCGGCCGACATGTTGATGAGTATGATCTTAGTCAAGACCGAGTCGAGTGGGCGCTCTTTGAGCTCGATGGCCAGATGGCTGAGCACCTCGCCTTCCAATTCATCATGTGCAGCAAATTCCTCACCCTTGTAGAGCTTGCTGTGCAGTCTGATGAACCAGGCAATGAGGGCACGACCAGTGTTGCCTTCGGCCGACTTGTGGTTATTGATGAGCTGACCACTGTCCCAGGCGGCAATGACGCGCTTGAACTCGGTGGCTAGATTGGCCTTGGCCTGTGGATATGGCTCTCTGCTTGCTAGCGAGCGGTAGAGGTGGTAGACGCAGCGGAAGTGGTCGCCATCTTCGCGCGCGATTACAGCGAGCTGGTTGGGCGCATGTCCTGAGTCGGGGTATATTTCGGCTGCGAGATCATAGTATCCCTTGGCTGGGCCCCAGTTGCGCTCCTTGTTCTTTTCGACGAGTTCGGTTTCGCGGTAGCGGGAGAGGTCGCCGAGCTGGATGAGCGTCTGGTGGCAGGAGAGGAGGACCTGGGTCTTGAGGGTGGCGGGGATGCGCTGACGTGAAGAGGACCTGGAGGCTACTCGGGTGTTAGAAGTGTCGAGGTGGGCTTGGGGGCGAGAAAGCCTACTGTCATCCTTCCATTTTTGGGCAATCTTGCGCAGCTCGGGGATGCCGTCGAACTGCGTGTCGAGGTTCAGTATGTACTGGCGGTAGAAGCGCTGGCTGGCCTTGATGAACTGGAGATATAACTTTTGAAACTTTCTGATCTCGACGACATGGTCTTTGGAGCGCTTGAGCTGAGCAGGTGTTAGCGCCAGTGGTTTTATTTGGGCAATGCAGTGACGCACGAGTTTATGCTCCTGGCGGAATATGGCATTGACCTTCAGATGCGCATTCCACAGCGTCGTCTGAAGTTCGTGGGCCGAGGCGTACTCGAAGTTTGAGAAGATGAGGGCTTCGCAGGCGGCGCGGTACCTAGGCCATGTGTTAGCAGATGGACGTGGACAAGGTATGCTGCGGTTGCCTACTCTTGCAGCACGGCAGCCAACTCGGCGCAGGCGGAGCCGCCATCGGCGCGCTTATACAGCTCCTTCTCAATCGCCTTTGCCCGCCTAATCACGGGTTAGCAGGGTGCGGTGAGAGTTGCAGGGCTTGAAAATCCGCACCTGTCTAGTTGTTCAGTATTCGCAGCCATGCCTGCTATGTGCATGGACCGGCGACGTTCATATGTGACCCCACGGTCGGCGGGCAGGTCAGACGAAGGCACGGAGCAGGCGGCGGACGTTGTGGCTGGCGTGCTCCATTTATGGTGAAGTTGTGTGCCCTGCCTAAAGGACAATCAGCGATGGGGGATGAGTCTCGGAAGCAAGCAGCGCCCAAGACGCGAAGATATATCGGGGCAGAGGTCCGGCGCGATGGCGGGTCGTGGGTTGAGTGTGAGAAAGTACCAAGGTTGGATGAGTCGCGAACTAGCGGGCGGGAGAGCCCTGGACCAGTCTCGGAGCTAAGCATATCAGTCCACGGCTCAGTAGCAGACCTCCACGGCTTACCACGGTTGCAGCCCGTCATCCACTCACAAATCAGACGCCTACCAGACCTCGCTTTTGCTTTGCATCGGAAACACCCTCACGAGACACCCAGACTCGACGGACAAAGGTACTGCCCAGATTTCTTTCTTACTGCCTACGCCTCATCCCACTCACTCAGCCCAACACACCATGGGGATCAAGCGCTCACACCGCGACTCTGTGTCAGAAGACGAACGCAACGCCCCTTACTCACGTGAGACGTCTGTCGATATAAAGATCATACACTTGGACGCCGACTCTGCCATATCCGACGATTCTGCCGTTATGAAGTGCTCACTGCCCCCACACGAGCCGCTCACTTTTGCATCTTTTGAAGAACACGATGTGCACTACCAGCAGGTGCACATGAACCGTTGCAGCGAGTGCCAAAAGAATTTCCCAGACCAGCATTACCTGCATCTGCATATTGCAGAGTACCATGATCCCATCAACGCTGCCAAGCGAGACCAAGGCGAGAAAACAGTAGGTCATGATTTCCTGTTTTGTTGATGGCTCCTCCCCCATAGTATGTCCGCCTGCCTATTGTGGCAAGGAGTAGATGAGAGTATGACTACGTCGAGCAACTACCTCTGGCCTGCAACTAATTTGTTCCAGTATGCATGTCTCTTGCCGGATTGCGACCGCCTTTGCAGCACGCCCCAGAAGCGTCGTCTGCACTGCATAGACAAGCACCAATATCCCCGAGACTATGACTTCATTGTCATAAAAGATGGCATCGACCGCCGAAGCAGCATGCTGATACCACCTCATCGACGGAGAAGCTCAAACTTCAGCGCATCCAGTGCTGCCACTGGAGCAAGCGGGAGACGAAGAGGTGAGTCGTCTGTGAGCACTGTAGGTGATAGCATGGAGATTGTGCGGGACCAAGACGAAGGCCCCGAGGAAGACCAAGGCGATGGAGAAACCCGACGCTACCCTACTCAACTTCGTGGACGTGGAGGATTTGGACATGCTCAAGGTGCTGGCCATGGGCTAGGCCGAGGAGATGCAGCAATAAAGGCTGCCTCTAAACAAGTAACAGCTGCACCAGCTATGGATCCCATGGACAGTCTGGCTTCCAGCATGTCTGCACTGAAGTTCATCCCACACAGTGTACGGATGGCGCGCGGACGGGGTAAAGGTAGTGTCTGAGAGGCCCGGATACAATTCGACTCGCATCTGTGATACATTTTTCTGCAACCCCCGCCTGTACCGTGTTTCCCTGCATCATCCCTTCCAGATTGATCTGTCGCCACGTGGTTTCGGTTACAATAACATTCCAGGTTTCCCGTCTTCCAATCAACTACCTTGATGCACTGGCATCATTCTTGATTGCGACAACCAGGCAAGTGACTGAGTGACCTAGCTGCAAGACCCTACAACTAAGAGCTGGCAGAGCCGCTGACGGCGACTCCTCAATGTCATCGTCGCTGCGGCGATGGGATACATTTCCGGCCTGCACTACGCGTTTCGCATCTGCCTGCTCTTTTTCCATCATCTGAGAGTATTCAGGATCGTGAAAGTGGAGTCCACGTTTGTTTGTTGTCACATGCTCCTGATACGCCTTATCATCAACTCACCACGACAACCGCCCCGACGCAATCTGCGCGCCATTGTTGTATGCGTCCGAATACCCTCAAAACTTATAGCTCTTATGAAGCTATCTACTGTCGCTCGCTGTGCAGCTGCTAATGAGGTCCTTCGCCGAAGACAACACGCCGTCTGCGATAACATCACACGCCCTGGCCTGAAGCATCACGTGGAGCTCATGAGCGTAACATTCGAAGAAGCGCAACCCCAAGAACCACATACCGAGAAGGAACGACGCCAAGTCATATCATTCACACTGTCTCTTGGTCTGAGGACAATTGGAGAAGGCCGTGGCGCAAACACGACTAGTGTCCCCGCAGCGTTGACCGACAGTACCAGGACAACAGCAAGTATGTGCACCGTGTACGCTATCATGGAAGCCAAGCTGACATAGGACTAGCCATAGCGCATCGCCCGAAGTCCGGCGTGTGGAAACCGATTCTCAGTCACGATCGTGTGAGCAGTCCGGTATTGGTGGCCTTACAGCAAAACCCCGAACGAAGTGACCAAAGCCTGACATGCAAAGCACAAAAAATATGCACAAGTGAGGCTATCGCAGATGCTGCGTGTGATGATCTCAATACAGGCGTTGCGCAGATACATGATACGGGATATCGGCATGGAAAGGACGTAGGCAGTTTTCACTTCCCGCCGGTTGATGAGCAGGCTACACCGAATGCTCTCGACCCATATCCCTACCACGAGAGCTCCAATATGAGCGCATCGCCAGAATCAGATACTACACTGGTAGAAGAGCCTGTCCAGGTTCCTGACGACTCGCTAGAAGATGGTGTGAACATTCAGAGCCTCACAGTGGACGTCTTTCCGTCTCAAGAGGGCGCCTCAACCCCCACAGAGAAACGGAATGTCCGACATCGGCGGAATTCGTCTTCTAATTCAGCATTCGAAGATGTTAACCCGGCTTTAGTGCCGCCTCGATCAAGGGCCAAGACGAACGATGGCCTGCTATCATTCAAAGCAAGCTCATTCAAAGACTTCACACATAGAACTATCAAGGGTCGCCATCGCCGTAAGATATCTCTGAATCTCCCTGTCAACTCTCAGGCACTACGGCCCAAAGCGTCTCCACAATCTAAGCAGCCTCATCTGAGTTCCCTGGCCGAGCCATCATATCACCTGCAAACAGCTCCAAACACGACTATGGCCGTTACACTGTCTCCAGAAGAGCGGGAATTAGAGTACAAACACCGCCGTACCTTCATCGGAACAGGCTCGCTTGACGATTTTCTCGAGCTTCTAGAAATGTCAGACACATATCTGACTACGCAGAATGCGGTTGTGAGAGCATTTGTACAGATTTCCTCAACTGAACAGATATATGCTCGACGGTTGTCCAAGGAGCCAGATGGATGGGAACTCGTCTCACGGATCAAACCCGACATCATAGATGTTACTAGCATCGATTACGTCGTGCAGTTGCAGGTCAAACTTGGGTCTATCACACTCCGCCAGTTTCTGGACATGATTCCGTTTGACGAAAACAACCAAGCGGCGGCAATCCAAGTTGTTGAGGCTTTTTCCGCTGCAAGTCACATGGACTCCAAGAACACCATGGGTACACGGACCAAGGCGAGAGTTTTCAGGAGTTGGATAGTCGCGCAAAAGGCCCCCGCAGAGTCCTGATCGTCTCCAGGCTACTTAGAGGCATTGTAAAATTTAGGGTCGCGTTTGTTTGTTCTGTTTCTTTTGTAACACTGGATCCGCTTGCGTTCGCCCTGTTTCTTTTGATACCCGAACATTTTGCCGATATCAAAATGGTACTCTTTCCTGGGGTTTCCGTCTATATCGTTGCTTCAGCACTTGTATTAGGATTCTAGTCAGTTTGATGACGTAGCTAAGGCTTTGAAATGTCAATGATTTATAGTAGCAGTACGCATGGAAGTGGTTCACTTACGCACATGCGGTCTTTAGCTCCCAGGCTATTATCTCAGCATTGCAGCTCCCCGATATAATTATATGTACACCTGGTTTTTCACTGATTACCCAATTGCTCGTGCAAAGCTCTCACGCAAAGCCCGTGCTCTCCTTCATAGACTATTGACAACTTATTGTGAGGAGTGCCTTCTCTTTCTCTCCTCACGCCTTGCAAACTCAACTGCAAAGTTCTTGAGCGATCACCTACCGATCGCGCGCTTCTCTCTCTCCACCGTGCCTACTCAACTGCAAAGCTCTTGAACGGTCATCCAACGGTCACACGCAATCAAAATCTCGGGGATCCCTTCGAAACCCACAAACAATCCCCTTTACACGGTAGGTAAACTCTCTGGAAGTTGTTCATCAAGGCGAGACCTTTACAGTACCACAGTACTCATAAGAACCATCGATTACATGATTTTGGCAAGAGATCTGACAAGCTTTTTCACTCTTACCTCCTTCCCCTTATATTCACGGAATGTCGACACCTCCTGTACCTTCGCCGAGCCAGTCAAAGACTACCACCACCGCGTCTTGGAGCCCAAATACTCCAGGCTGGATGGGACAGCAGCGTTCTCTCCCCACTTTTGACTTAGCGACTATACCGCAAGTCCGTACCAGACCCGCTCCTGCAACCCCCTGCCCTACGTCGGCATCGCACCCACCATGTTCAGCTTCAGGATGTTCCATCTGCAGAACCAGCTAGTGTCGCAGCAGTCCACTCCAGCGAGGGCAGGGACTAGAAATCCAACCTTCACAGTCCACTTGAACAGTCCCGCCTTTAGGGCGCCAGCGCCGGCATAGGTCGACACATCCTCGCCACTATCTACGAAAGCAGTCGTTTTCGTGAGAGATGCGAGGCTTACGTTGAAGGATTCAGATGAAGGTGAAGAGACTCCAATCTTTATCTTCGGGCAAGGCACTACTTTCTTCTTGACCTTCTCCTTCACAACTCTGAATGATGTTGAAACGCTTTAGACACTTTGAGAAAGCTTCACCCGCTACCATCGAAGCACAAGTCCTAGCACTCCGCAGAACCTAACTTCCAGCGAACCTACAATAAGCGCCTTCGAAGACCGTGAGACTGAAGAAGAGTATATCTGAGAAATCTACGGTTACTCACCCAAGGGGACAGTGGCTTATCATGATGACGACTCAGATCCCATCATACTGTATCACGCTGCAGAGGTAAAGACCAACCAGGATGTATGCGAGATCACCGAGTTTCAATATCTTCTAATTATAATCAAATTCGGCCTCAACAACCCGGTAGTCACGGTTACTTCAAACCCTGAGGCTCGCCTTGAGCTGGAAAAAGATATATTCGACAATCACTGGGCAAATGACTTCATTGAGGAGTTCTTCGCGCAGTCTTAGAGTATCGCAAAGGAAATTGCGGGTGAAGTCCCAAGAACCACGCTCCAGCTCGATCAGAAGCCCATCTCTGGAACTTTCGACACTGAGGCCATGTTTATAGAAAACAAGTTCGAGAAGCATCCAGAGATCTCCACCCCAGCATTCACTCAACAGCCAGAGCGTACCTCAGAGTTGGAAGTTGTGTCGATCTTGAACAACTGCATTCAAGAGGTCATGGTGTGGTGTCATAGGTCGTGTCACTCAAGCCTGATGCTGACACTGACCGGACCAAGAAACCTGATACTCCTAACTACTAAGGCTGATGGGATGAACCTGACGCCCACCCCTGAGGGATCTACATATGAGATGGATTATGATCTGGATGACTCACGAGGTACTTCGATTACTTCTGAATCTGACATGAGTTCATCCACGTCCTCCACTCACACACGTCCGAACCGCCAATTTCTTTCCACTCAATCAATCACGCTCTTGCGATCGACAAGACATGAGCATGATAGGTGGCATCGTGTCACAATATCTCCTTCTCCTGAGATGAAACCTGCGTACCACATCGATATAAGAATCGATGATGGCAATGACGGCAATGCTGCTCTGGAGCATAAGTGGGTTGCTTAGTGATCACCCACCATACGCTCACTTTGAATCCTCTAACATTCGCATGGCCGTCAGTAGTAGTCGACTGCGAGTTTGTTAGTAAGTCCGATCCTGTGCACGCTCGTCGATTCGCTCACAAGGGTCTATGATGTCTTTTAGCTACTGCATCGACAGGATAATCCTCTTTAAAGACGACATCAAAAAGTACACGAACACGCGGGCGATATTGTTTTATACCAAAGACTGAAATCGCCTGGATTTTACCAACATACAATATTTTGCCCGGTTCTACCAAAAACCACAGGAACATAAATGCTTCACGTGTTCGATCCACTTGGCTCAAGTTCAATCTCGGAGGATAATGAGAGTCCCTCTTTGGACCACATCGTACACATTCTTCGTATGGGTTCATTTCTTGAGATATCTAATAGGGATAGTTATATGTTTAGGATGTTCATTTGCGTCATGCATTTTGCGATATTTTTTTAGATTGTTTAGAAATGGCAACTCTCAGACATGATAGACTGTCTACAAAAAAGAAGAGTAAGATGCGCAGCCACTGCAACTGCATGAAAGTTCATGTTACTCAGCTATACAACAGAGGATATGAGACTGCAACGGTCACGGAGATGGCTATACTGTTAGGGCTTATCCGTCAGCGAGAAAACGCAGCGAAGCATTGCAATTAGGCTGCATTGGAACAGCAGGACATGTTGCTTCAGCAGAATTGCTACAATGTTTCTAACGCTATCGCGTTAGCTAAAAGATGACTTTGCAAAAAAGGAACCATAGTGTTTAACGCATAACTTACAGGAAGCTATACTTGATGTATTAAGTTGCCTATCAATTAATCGTGCATACACACATGCCTGTGCTCTTCTCTGGAGCCAACCAAAAGTTGCAAAAAAACGCAAAAAAGAAAGTCATGCTGAAAGCTCTCCAGCTGGGAATTGAACCCAGGTCTCCCGCGAAATTGCCGTCGTGTAGACGATGACAAGCGGAAATACTAACCACTATACGACTGAAGATGGTGATTTGATGGGATAATGAGAGTTTAAATGCAATATATTGGTGATTGCATGACTGCGCTGCAAGTGAAGGTAGGACAGACGAGTCCCACAGGCAATTTCGCTCGCTTCAAATCCCGCCTAGGTGGGGCTCCTATCCTCAGTGGGGCTGCTCAGCCTGCGTCGCGTCCCTCACCACTTGGGTGTCGTAAAATACTGGACAGTGTGTGTAAGTACCTAATGGACGTGTCTGGCGACTGTAGTGGCCTTTTTACACTGCTATGTGGAGTATTTTATGTCGCCTAGGCGCACCACACCCGGGTGACATAAAACACCTGACAGTGTGAGTAAGCGTGCCTGGCGCCTACAATGGTATCTGTATACTACTATGTTAAATGTTTTACCTCACCTAGGTGATGACATTATATAGTTCTAGTTGGGTAAACATTAGTTTAGGATTGTTCTAAAATTGGATTACTGGAGACTAAACATTGTTTTCGCTAGATTTCAGAAACGAAAAGGGCTCCTATGTTCGTTCTTATCAAGAGGTGGCATCTGCCGCTTTTGCACGCCATTCACAGATTAGAAATCGGATTGGTTCTTCCCGTATATAAGCATATTTGGTATTGCAGCAGATTCTTGGTTGGCCAAATAGTTGGCTATTCTAAAGCTTACTAAAAACACGCTCTTTGTGGATGTTAAGCGTGCGCTCGTCTCGAGCAAACCAAACCATGTCGTCTCGACTATGGTTACGATGGAAGCAATTATAACCTTCTAGAAGCTCGGCAACGAAACTCGGTGTGAGTAATGTAGGAGGCAGATGAGTAAGAAGCGGCGTGGCTGCGTGGACGACTGGCATAGGCGAGGCCTCATCGCAAGAGAACCAGGTGCTCGGGTCGTCTCCGAAGCGGACACCGCTCTCTCCTCGTTCATCACCACCAAATCATGCATATCGTGGTGTAGAGATTTCGGTGTGTCGCGGGGTTCTGAATACGGAGGCGCTAGCATGTGATTGCAGGCGATGTAACTTCAATGCGTTGAACATTTATAGATAAGCTTTGGCGGCTAGCAGGCTGCTCATGGAAAAGTAGTGTTCTGCTGTTATCGCAAGGCATCAGAGTGCAAGTTGCTAAGAAAAGTGGCCTTAGCCTCACTGTTGTGTGCGTGGAATACTGAAGATAGACTGGGGTTGGATGAGGCTGACTCTGTATAGCCAGTTGATCCTGCCGAATGCAAGTGGCATTGTGATGGTTTTCGTGGCGTCGAATGTTGTACTATGCCACGATGCGCGGGGGGGCGGTGCAATAGGTTGGCAGCACAAGGGTCCTGAACATCATGGGACGAAAGCAGCACGAAATCGATAGTCTTGGACCGCAGCTGGGCAATTGTGCGGCCGCTATCCCACAGGTGTTTGACATGGGGTCATCGAGCAGCAACAACGTCACTTCTTACCGACAAGAGTACCTGTCGGAAATGGCACAATAATACAAGAGCGTTAGCGTTGTAACAAGAGAGTGAACAGTAGCAACAGAACAACCCGACGACGATCGATGTCAGATGCGGTCCCCGTCCAGCGCGGCACGGTCAGCGAAATTGAGCACACATAGGCAGAAAGGCTTGGCTAGGAAACGGCTCTGACGCGTCCTGAAGTCTGGGGTCGCCCTGGCCTGAAGAACAAAGAGAGGGCGAATGGTGGAGACGCCTCTTGATAGTTGATTCCGGATGTGAGGTAATCACGATGGTTACCTGAGTAATGTAATGCAGGCAAGAGCGTTTGGTGGACGCGCAACAGTAAACATTGCGCATAGAAGGCACGGCGATGATGATGATGATGATGGTGATGAACGGGGGCAGGGGTGGCATGGTGCTCAGCAGGACGTCGAGTGGCTGAGTGTGTATGCAGGCGTCCTCCGCCTCAGCAGTACGAGCATGTTGGCGCCGTCTGTTCCACCGCCCGTTCAGCCCACCATATCTTCAATCCGTCTTGCTCTTACTCTACAGTCTGCACATTTTGTACAATTTCTACCCTTCCTCGTCGTTCGTTGTTGCTCTCCGCCCATTGCCAGTGAACCGTTGCGCCGTGCACCTGCTGCCTCGGCTGCATCTACACCGGACGGGCCGAATCCATCTACCGCGTCAGGCTGAGTGAGCCTCATTTGTATCGAATTTGGACAATCAGAGGAGGCCTGCGATAGGCGCTTACCATTGTCACTCGTTTAATCAAATCTCTTCTGCTCTGAATGCCGACTCATTCCCATTCACTCGTTTCTATTGCGAGAAACGTTAGGCACACGACGCCAGGCACTTTCTGAAATCGCGAGGAAGGCGTCGCCCCGCTGCGGCAGGCGCAAACCACCGGCCCGATGCGCTCAAGCAACAAGTCCTACACCAGCATCAACGAGAGTAGTGGGAGAGGGAATGAGGCGAGAGAGGCAATCCCGTGGTATTGGCGCGTCATAGCTCTCGCGGCTTCTTGGATGATACTGGGAGGGTGAGTCAAGCACGATGTGCACGGCTGTCTCGACACGAAGCAAACGTCAGCTAACGCCGTACAGCTACCTCATACTTCCCGGGCTTTATGCAAAAGATGCGAAGCTAAGATTCAGCGAGGCCGTATTGTCAGTCTTTGTCGTCGCACTTCTTACCGCCGGCTACTCGTTCACGGCCCTACTTTGCTTTGCATGTCGCAATGACCGCTTCCAAGCCGATGGCGTCTTCTTGTAAGCTTCAGCTGTCATCACAGCCAGCGCACCACTGATCCTTTGCAGGCCCGCCCTCACGTCTTCTGTCCTCGGCCTCGTTTCGATAGCCTACAACTTCCTCTCGTCACGCGCATACGATTGGGGTACTGCTGCCATATCTGGCACAGCTCTCAGCACCGTCACTACTCTCTTGTACGCTGTCCTCTTACTCTGGAAGTATCGCCGGATGGCCAAGACAAAGGAGCACGTAGAGCAGCGCTCCAACCTCTGGTCAGAACAGTCATACTATAGTAACTTTGTCGCCAACATGTATCCCACCGCTACACGCTCGCCCTCGCAACCGTTCGAAACTGCGTATACCGAAGAGGACCGCGTAAAACAACAGATGGCTCTTCTACTTCACAAGTCAGATGCTCGTCCCAGTCCTGATTTGAACAGCACATTCAGGATAGACCTTCCAGAGGACCGGGAGCAGCAGGAAAGAATCTTGAACAGCCAGGAGCTAGTAGGTACACCGGCACAAGCGCATCGCAATCGAACAGACAGCCGACCCGATAGTCTCGGCGAAAACCAAGCATGGCAACAGTGGCAAGACCGCGGACGAAGCACGATTCGGGCCTCAAGTAGCGGTGGTACCAGCAGTCAATCTAGAAACCTCAGTCGAGAAGAGCGGAGACGGGAGATTGAACTGGGCCAGTTGAATGTCTGAAGTCCTCGACGGCACAATTTCCATCCGCATCGTATTGTAAAAATAACACGCATTTTCAGCGCACATGGGTAGCGACGGTGTTTCTGGTTCGGTGTCTACGGAGTTTCTCATGGCGGATACCTTTGCACGTCCATGTTTTCGTTTTTTGGGATCTCTGGGGCCATATTTTTGAACCATGTACATGTTAACATGGCTATTTTTCTTATTTTGAGACTACAACTGCAGCTGAATATACGCTATTTTTGCGCGTTCGGTCATGGCCCACCCAACTGATGATTAATTTCTTGCTACAAAACACACCGGCTGGTCCGCGGAGAGACTTTTCTCACCCGACGATAGGGTCGCCCCATGGCCATATCATGCCAGAGGCGTCGATTCTTGAAACGTTGCCTCGATTCCCCGAACACGGTTGTTGTCATCCTGGGGCGGCCGTATCTGCAACCATCAGGAGGCTCAAAGGATTCTTCGCATCACCACCCCACTGGGGGCAGCCGTTCGTGAAGCCATATGGAGAATACAACCTTCGCCTAGCGCATGGTGGCGTGCCCTATCAACCCTCCTCTAGCGATTACGCATCAACTGAGATGCTATTGTTGCCATTCGCATTCCCTGTTGTGTTCTTGTACGGGCTAATCATGCAGAGCTAGATGCATTTGTAGTAAGCCCTGGAGATGCATGGTGCGGCATATCAGCTGGTGTGAGATTGAGCGGCAAGCACAGCAGAGCAGTACGTGAAAGAAATCGTAAATGCTCGGGATGATTTAATGTCAAGTTTTCGTATGCCTTGCTCTCCAACACAATATGCCACCCCATGGACTACTCTGTTGTCAGTAGTATTCAAACCTAGTCCAATTCAATTCGCTGCAACGACGAAATTGCGAACATGGCCACATCATGTCGTGCTTTTAGTCGCATGGTGTTCATACACAAGCAGCGTTAATGGACGGATACAAGGAAAGCCCAAAAGCCGCATCCAATAGTCGAGCGCGTAAAGCGCAAAGTGTTCATGGGTACCAGAATTGGTGTAGTATGCGAGGGACCGTCGGCTGCTCGGCCTTAGCTTTGCTAGTGAGGGGCACAGCACCACACGTCCCCCACCAAAACGATTAATCTGTCCGTTCGCAAGCTGCAGTGACGTCATGTCTGCTTCCACTTTCTTCACACCTCAATGTCTGCCAACTTACTGATTGAACGTCTAAACGTGGCAGCCACTCGGCATACGATCTTCTCAAGCCACGTCTGTCTATGCCAAACGGCTGTCATTGCTGTTACACAGGTTTGACTTTTGGGTCGATAGAAATGTGCCCACGCTGCATGCCTAGGTCTCACTAGTACCTGTTATCCCGTGTTGCCGGTAGGGATTTGGTGCTCAACGAACCGCAATTGTGGGCACCGCTCCTTCCCCGTCGCTGATCAGCGGCAGTTTCTGTTTGAGCCTGAATATAAGAGTCTGCTAGTGCCCCTCCCAGTTTTCTTCCTAGTCAAGGTGCGCTTTGCTTAGATTGAAATACATCTGGCCTTGTCTTTCTTACGACGTGATATATCTCTTCACATTCTCGTGGGGTACTTGGAATACAGATCTTACCAAGAAGACTGCTTTTGCCATGACAAGCAAACCTATCTTTGTGGCTACTCATCCGAGGGCCTGCTCAACGGCTTTTGAGCGGGTATGCTTTGCTGAAATCTTGGATAATCTTGTCAGACACTTACAACCCGTCTAGGTCTTCATGACACGCCATGACACACTTCAATGTGTTCATGAACCGTTCGGCGATGCCTACTACTTTGGGCCTGAACGTCTCGCTGAGCGCTATGAGAATGACCCAAAAGCTAGAAAGGAGTCTGGTTACGAGGACAGCACATACAGGACCATTTTTGATCGCATCGCGAAAGAGAACTCCGAGGTTCGTTTGCTAATCTTCTCTTATGTTGCAGACTTTTACACTTGTTGGCTTCCCCATCTTTTCGTCCCCTCATATTTTCATGTCATTTTCAATTTCGCCAAGTCACATTCTTCTTCGGCGTTGAATACTCCCTGTCTCTCAATCTACTGTTCGCCAATTCCATCTTGTCCCACCCATCCGCTATTTACCTCATTTTACGGCTATATTGCGCAAGATGCCAGCTCCCCGATTCGCTACGAACAGTTTCGCCGAAAAGATAAGCCCACACATGCCGAAGTCTCTCCCAGCCACGAAACCTCAGCTGCCAAGTCGTCATCAGCGTAACGAGCCACTCGATCACAGCCAACCCAATACGCTTCTTTTGGCCTGCATTCGAACTCTTGTCTAGGAAAACATGTGCAATTTTCGAAGAAGTTATACTTACCTGAATTCAGGGAAAACGAGCTTTCATAAAAGACATGGCTCAATACTGGATCCCGCCTTCGGGCAAGCCTGCCACAATCGCGCCATCGCTGTCAAACTACCGCCGTGGTGTAGGCACAAACACGACTGAACTTTCACCCGTCACTACGCGGACCGATCCTTCGCGACCGCCCTACCCCTACGACACCCAGGGCGAGCCGAACAATCCCACTGTCGTTCCCAAGGATCTCTTAGCAACCTACCACTTCACCTTCCTAATTCGTCACCCCAAGTTCAGTATCCCAAGTTATTACCGCTGCACCATTCCTCCCCTCGATGCCATGACAGGTTTCTACAATTTCCGTCCAGATGAAGCTGGATACGAAGAGCTTCGCCGACTATTCGACTTCCTGCGCTCTGAGGGTCAGATTGGACCCAAGTTCGCGGGCGAAAAGGGTATCGATTCCAACGACCAGGCAAATGGCCACACTGGCGAGGTGGAAATCTGTGTCATTGACGCCGATGACCTACTCGACAACCCAAGTGGTGTTGTAGAAGCGTTCTGCAAGACTACGGGGATCAAGTGGGACCCAGGAATGCTGATATGGGATACGGAAAAGGATCAGGGTATTGCGAAAGAGGCGTTTGAGAAGTGGAAGGGCTTCCATGAGGATGCGCTGGATAGTGATCGCTTGAGGGCAAGGGCACACGTAAGTTGCTGATTAATTTGCTCGCTGTTTCGGGGTTGGGTTTGAAAACCAACGAAATTGCAAAAGTTTGGGAATAGAACGCTGACCACTTTGCAGAAGAAAGAGCCCAAAACCGATGATCAGTTGTTTGCGGAGTGGAAGGAGAAGTACGGCGAAGAGGGCGCAAAGGTTATCCGTGATACCGTTGCCGCTAACGTAGAGCATTACGAGTATCTCAAGCAATTCGCTATCAAGGTATAGATAGTGGAATAGCGGCGCTAGAGCTGTGTTTGGCAGTTCAGATCACGTACAAACTTTGCTTCAGCATGAACATACAAATCCCAGAGGACTGATCATTACCGCACAAGTTTTCAAGATGCCGAGTTTCCTATCTGATGAATACGTTTATTGCGGTGCTATCGAGTTTTCGCTGACTCATCAGTGCGGGTTAATGAACGGAAGATTACCGACTTCTTTCTCAGGAATACGACGGCGATACGTCGGCACTGAATACTTCGTTGTCCAGTATTGTTGAGTTTGTATGCTGCTTGCGTTTGCATACTCGCTGACAATTCAGAGTTCTTCCCAAATAGGAGACGAATCACAACTCCACGCAGATCACAAGCTCAATCAAGATGTACGAATTCGATGGCGAGACAGACACCAGCCACGAGAAAGGACTGTATAATGTCTATTGCGATGTCACACTGGCTATTTGGCGCAGTCCGACACCTGTAACTGTGAATATCGCTACGAATGCTCTACCCTGTTCTACGCGTAATTATTAACCTCATGTATATTGCTTCTATGCCCCTTGGCTGATGAAATATAACGTTGACAAAAAAAATCCTCGATCACAGCCTTTAGGTTGTTGTTAAACTGCGACCTCTGTGGTCGGCTCTGAAGACCTTCGCCGGCGGCGGTTTGTGTAGGCTTCGCCGAATGCGCGTGCTTGACCTATGCTCCATTTCCACCGCCCTTCAGTATTGAGAACGAATGCTCCTGCGACTGGAACGTCTTAGGTTGGAAATTGCGCCGTAGTGGGGTTTTCCCATGTCCATCCTTTGCGACTGTCGAAGTATCCCGTATCGCGCCTCGCCATCCAAGTCCTTCCTTTATATGTGCTTCCATAGACTGTGGATTTATTTTCCTTTTGGTTTGCGTTGTAGTGCCTTCGTAAAGCTCCCGTTTCTCTTACCATCCCTCATCCTTCTTTTCCATCGACATCAAAGGCCTTGACAAACCACTTGTGCCGTCCATTCCCCACCAGCCTTGCAGAAATCTGCGGCATGTCACCCTCGAGAACATCCCTTTCTTCCTCAACCAATGCATCTGAAACCTCAAGCCACGCTTTGTCCTTCAAACAAGCCCCCCACGCCAAAGCCTTGGTAGTGTACAGGCCAACACAAAACGCGCTTTTAGGTCCTTCATGAAGTGCCAGGAATACTGTCGTGTTGCTTGTCGTTGATCCGCTGATGTCTTGCTGGCTGTCGAACCGCGATGCTTGTGGATGTGGGATATCCAGCCTCATGGGCCTGTCGGGTTGCTTTGGGCTGCTGTTGTCCTCTGGTAGCACAGCCGAAACACCCATCGATTGCACCGCATGCGATACAATCTTGATGCGGCCGGTCGGACTTAGGTACTCGCTTCCGTCCAGTAATCCTTCTTTTGAAAATGAGTACGCGCCATGTCGAAACGCGTCGGCAGTTACGGTATCGATGCTTGAATACACGCCCAAAAAGGTGCTAGGCTGGCTGTTGTGTGGATACGGGTCGTACTCCAGCACAAAAAGGTAGGTTGTTTGCGGTACTGCATGCATCAGAGACGCAGGTCTCCGTTTTTGCAACCTATTTCGCGGTCGCTCATGCAGGGACTGTACAGTGGGCGGTTTGTGCAACTTGCCATAAGTCTGAGGTTTGCGCGTAGTTGATTTGGTCATTGTGGGTTCGCTGGCTGTCGAAAGTCTGCGGTTGTTGCGCATCGTCCCAGCTCTTTCCTCATATAGTAGCTTTGCATAATTGCAGATTGTGCCCAATTCCCCGAATCCAAGGTAGCCCATGTTGATGCCGGATTAGCCGGGATTCGGCGAACGAGTGTGTGTTGAGGAGAACCGACAGAAGGAAAAATAGCGAGCGTCGTGAGCGCCTGGCACTGCAATTGTGTGGGGTAAAGCGTAACTTTTGGTTGAAGGTGGAACTGGCCGCCTTGAACCCGCGCTGGCACGTTTCACCATACGAGTGCTGATGGGACAGGCGGTGTTGTGGGTAAGGAGGTTTATCGGTAGCCTATGCGTCATATCGATGCCGCACAGCCACGCCACTAACCTGTTACAGATTCGTTGACACGACGCCTTAACTTGGCCTAAGATTGCTTGTTATAATGGCTATCATGATGCCTGTCGGCATTCGAAGGACTGTATCTATGCTTCTAGTCTGCACGCTAGATGCACAACTTGCATTGAGCTGAGATGTGCTGGCGTGCCCCTTATGCTGTTCCACGGTGGCAAAAAACAGCGCATCCCTGGAATTTAAAACATTTCTCCTTTTGATAACAAGCATTTCCTAGTATCCAGATACTGTGTACTACGTGGAAGCCGTTGTCTCGCTATGGAAGTCTACACGTAGAACCTTCCATGACGCTTCCCTCACTTCCAAGCAATCTTAACATACTCCTCCACATCTTCCCACAGCGTCTCAGGCCTTTCCAAAGCTGCAAAGTGTCCACCCTCTTCATGTGCGCGGAAGAAGACCATCTTTCCTGTCTTCTCTGCCCAAGCCTTTGGAGTTGGGGAAAGTTCATACGGAAACCAGCTATAGCCCATCGGCTTGTCCACATACAGCATCTTGATGGTGTCTCTGTACGTGTAGATCGACGTCGGATAACACCCAGTCAGCCAATATAGGGTGATGTCGGCTAAGATAGTATTCAAGGGGGGTGTAGTAGAGGGATCAGACCAAGCAAGAAACTTCTCGCCAATCCAAGCCAATTGGGCGATGGGAGAACTTGCGAGTACGAGGCCGATAGTCGAAGGTCTTGTTTGGTGTTCGATGGCATAGCCGCGGCCTACTTCCCTGAACTCGTTCGCCCTCTCAAGGCCTTTCTTCTCTGCTTCGCTGAGCTTGTCCTCTGGTGCAGAATAAGACTGGATATCATGGCTGAGAACGAAGTTCAAGTGCATCCCTTTGCAGTCTGCATATGTTGCCGCCATCTGCCGCGCGACAAGGCTGCCGATATCACCACCTTGCACAAGGTAGCCTGTCGAGCCGAAGCCTAGAGAGAGAAGATGTTTGTGCATGATGCGTGCCGCATCTGCAACTTTCCAGTTCTTTTGGAGCGAGGGTCCAGATGACAGCGTAAAGCCAGGAAGTGATGGCACAATGATGTGGTAAGGTAGGTTATCGGGCGTATACTTCTTGTGCAGCAAATCCATGAGAGGCAAGAATTCGAGGAACGAGCCAGGCCATCCGTGGTAAAAGGCGATGGGGATGGCATCTGGCTTGTTGGAGAATAGGGCAGCAAAGTGAATATCATATTTGCCGCCATCATCGTCGTTGATCGTCGTCTTGAAGTTGGGGAATGAGTTGATGTAGTCTTCTTCTTTACGCCTATAGATATCAATTAATCCGTGCGCGACGTGCTCATGGCAAGAATACATACCAGTCAAAGCCTTCCATCCATTGCTTCTTTGCATTAACTATCCACTTCCGGCTGATCCCGAACTTTCCATGTCCTCCCTCATCCTGCTTGTTCTCAAACGTTTCTTTCGCGATTGGGTTCAATTTGAGCAGTGTCTTGAAGTCTTGCAACTTCTCTTCGTCAACATGCAAGTCAAACGGTGTTGGCTGTTGCTGCGCGCCACCTGGTACGGTGCTGAAAGGCTTGTGTGACGTCATAGCAGCTGCGTTTATCTTGTAGAAGGGTTATGTACCAGAGTAGTTTTCGAACTTTGTAAATTGAAGCTTATCGACTCCGCAACCGCAACTTATAGGTGGTTGTTGAACTGGATGGGTAGACAGGAAGCTTACAAATAATCTCCAAGCTAGTCTGGGTGAGGAAATAGCATTTAACCTCTTTCAGGCCATGATCGTCATACTGACACCCACTCATGATGACACCATTGACTTTGCAGGCACAAGATTACAAATGTGTGTATTCCATTGCGATATTGAAGCCACCGATATAACGAGTCACAAGATCAGGTGTCATGTACCCAGACTGGATTGTTCTGCGAGCACGTGATAAGTACAAAACTATATGTACAACATTGAACGCGTGTATGCATGCGAGGCCTATGAATTACCTAATTGAACCGAAATTTCATCAAGCTTCTTCAAATTTACTTTCCCATGCGTACATATGCAGTCTTTCCACATGCGGCTACCGGTGGATGGCTCAGGGTACTATATTTGTCTGGATCTGAGACCCTTCTTGCCCAGAAACTCTCAAGAATTTCTCTCCGTCCACAGAACAAGAGAACGAACTAAGCTATATAGTGGCACCTGCAGCAACGGATCCGCACTTTTGGAGCAATCGGCACGATGTTTGGACGGTACAAACAGGTTGCTTTGGTGACAGTAGGAACGAACAGGTGAATCCATAAACGACAAGCCGATATCATACTACAGAGCCATGGTACTGTCGAGATTCCCCTCTTGCTCGTTCTGGAGCGCGTGCCGACGCAGCTCAACACTGCACAATATGATCTCACCATGTCAGTCAGCGGATGCCTGTATCACCCGCCTTCACACTTCGCAAACTACGAGTTATCGCTCCCATCACAGTACACATTCGTCGCCTTTTTTCTTCACATTACGAAGACGTATCTCGGACTACAAACAATACGACCTTGACCAGACATACAGCAAAATCAGTATGCCAGCCCTCCCCCCATTGAACGATCCTGTTTCCATCGCCATGGCTGCGATGGTGTCACAAACACCACCTCATACCCCACCTCGCCAAATAGCACAAAAACCGTCCAAACGCTCAGCAAGAATACCTGACGGCATACGTCCTCTTCGAGGCTTTTCTATCTTCCATCGCTCGATATCTCTGCCAGCAGCTAAGCCGGCCGACCCTGCAACTAATCTCTGCATGTATTGCAAGAGTATGGGCCATTGGAGCAACGACTGTCCACTGTATTGCACGTTGTGCGCGAAACACAACAAAGACGCACGGGGACATACAGCGAGCAATTGTTCGCCAATGTGTGTGGCGTGTGACGGTCTTGGGACTATCAAACGCCACAACGGTGATGAAAGGGCAACAGAGATGCTGGCACTAGAATCTAGTGTGAAGGCATTGAGTGTTATGGCGCTGGAAGCGAAGACTCGTGTCGAATGTGGCGCTCAAAGCAGTGAGTTGACCTATCCTTTGTCCTGCTCATAAATTTCAAGTTGCTGATCAAGATGCCAGGTACACAAGACGATCTCAAATGTAACCTCGACCGGGCTCTCATGTATGCAAAGATGGCAATGCAGGATCTGGAGAAATTAGGCGAAGCGTCGAGTGCAAAGGACGCCGGTGATGAGTATGAGCAGGATGGGAAGTTTCATATTGATTCGCTGGACCCGTTCAACGACTGTCATAGGTACTGAGCTACCTTGCAGCGATATGTGACGCTATCAAAAACAGATTGTACATACCTAGTAAGTCCACAGGTCAGCCCGGTGTATAACATTGAGATGAACGCTGACTCGCGGATGTAGCAAGAGCCCTCGCATATGTTTTTCACAGCATCAAGGCTGTGTAAGAAGAGCTTCTAGAATACCAAAATACTTAATGCTTCAAATTCTCCAAGTCGCCCAGTTTGGCGTGTCTCTCATCATCCGACGTCAATAGTCACGCCTAACATGTATACTGCTTTTTTATTCTCAACCAAAACTGGCTCCCATACTCGTAAAGCCTGAAATGTACCGAATCCAACTACTCATAACTACCATGTATCAGACGTGCCATGCACCTTTTCTCTACATGACCTACAAATGAACAAGAGTCCAGCGTCCGGCGTTTATCAGACGTGTCATCTGGTCATTCCATGAATGCTGTGACGACGGTAGAATGGACAGACTACAACGGGATCATTCATGTTGTTCGTGTGACGTAGTTGGCCAGTTGCTGTGCAGACATGTGGAATGCTAATTGATGACTAATGCGGTGCAAACACGGCAAACACGTGCAGGGAAGGCGGATGAGGGCCGATAGGTCTCAGCTATCGCACCTCACTCTCAGCCAGCGCGCCTGCTCGTGTGGTCAGCCTGCCTTTTACATCTTGGACTGTGCCTGCTGATGGAGACGTGGCTGTTGCTCCTACAGGACGCTGGATTTGCTGGGGGTGGCTTGTAGCCCGCAATTCCGAAAGGTACTCACCCAATTGTCCCGCTCCATGCCACTCGGCCATGGCTCACAAGCCGCCCGCCGTCATGTCCGGCGGCTCAGCACATGTGCATGTGCATGCTGAACATGAGGCGGCCGCACGCAGCAAAGCGTTACCGCTGTCGTTGCCGTTGATGACCTCCCTCTCTAATGTGGCAGCAGGAAGCTCTCACCACAAAGGCAGCCGGTTGCCCACCATTCAGCCTGCGTCGCCGAACAAGGGCGCGCCGCACGCTTCACCAACCTCCAACCGCCCTGCATACTTTGCGATCCCAAAGGGCCACCCACATGCGACTGCCATTGTCAGTTCTGCGTCGTCGACTACTGAATCACTATCCGAGTTGACACCGTCATCGTCGCGGGATTCGCTACCGCACCCCCAAGGGCGCAACGGCCCTACCACGCCCCAGAAGCAGTCGCGTAACAACCGGCGGAAGACTCCAACAAAGTCGGGTGGCAGATGGAGTAGAGGAGGCGCTTCTTCAGATGACACGGCCACCGACCGCAAACCGCCCACCTCCCAGCCAGCTGAGCACGCGCAGAGCACCACCCGCTCCCCCCACACTTCGTCCAAGACACGCCACCAACCCTCTATTGCTACCAACACCCCATCGAACCACCAGCCGCGATTCATGGCAACAGCCTTTGGAGGTCCTTCGGGTGACTCGCGACGGGGAGTAGTATCTCCTCGCCCCAAGGGTCGCGGTATGACGAAACCACACACTTATATAGGCCTGAATGCCACGTCTGACTCGCCCATGTAGAAGCCAAAAACACACTCTGCCGCAATGTCACCATCTACGGACACTGTCGGTACGAGAATAGTAAGTATGCCTGGTCGCGTCTGCCGAATGTTGTAGTGACCCCTGTCTAGCCTGTCCCTATATCCACGACAGCCTCAAGTTAAACCAGAATGAGAATACCAAGAAAAGGTTCAATGTAGACTCCCCGTCATTCACGCCGCTGCAGGCAAGCACCAATGGATCCGTCACACCTTCGTCTCGCAGCGCTGCCATTTCGCCCAAGGCGGCGAACGCGGCTGTCTTTACGCCCAAATCGCAACGCTCCAGTGAGTCATGAGCATTTGCCTTTGGCTTTGCATACTGATTTCCCAAGCCGTTACTACACCGCACATGCACGCGAAAGAGCCTGCCATCGATTGGCATACGCAAGATTTCCAAGAATTCGTTCCCCAGAACTTTGAGAGCCAGCAGATGGTGCGCCCACACTCTTCTTATCGTCCACCCTCCATCCCCGTATAGTACATCAAGTCTGCCTAGGAGAAATCTTTTCGCCAGAATTGGCTTTCATCTGCTCCTCGACTTACATACAGTCTAGGTCGATCCCAATGTTGGCTACGATCCCTTCAGTACTCCCACCAATATCTCTTCAATGGCCGGCCCAAGCCACCAACCGCCTACCATCAATCCCTATGCTCAAGATGCCTCGGCGACGTACTTTCAAAACGCCAATGCTTTCCAAAACCCAGCGTACCACTTGTACTGGCCGGTAGGACCGCAACCAAGCGGGCTTTTAGCTTATCAGCGAACGGCGCATGACTTTTTTATTCCGGATGCCTTACGAGAAGAATTACAGAAAAAGGCGGAAATTGCGCGACAAGTTGCTCCTAATAGCACTTTGCCAGCTATCGAGCAGTTTCATTCTTTGTTTTGCTTGGATATTTCGCCACAAAAGAACACAGCACCGTTCGGCTATGCCAGCTGGATCTACAAAGCCGTGTCTAGCAAAGATGGCAAGACGTATGCGCTACGCCGTCTGGAAAACTTTCGTCTCACGAGCGAGACTGCCATTAGGTCTGCTCAACCCTGGAAACGCGTCTTGAACGGCAATGTGGTAACCATCCATGAAGCATTTACCACTCGCGCTTTCGGCGACAGTTCCTTGATCCTGGTCACAGACTACCACCCAAACTCCAAGTCGCTTGCTGACGAACACTTCAAACCAGCGCAACGGTTCCATGGTAGGCAGCCAACGTCATCCCATGTACCAGAGCAAGTGTTATGGGGTTACACTGTCCAGATTGCATCTGCTTTAAAAGCCATACACGGGTCCGGCTTGGCTGCAAGGCTGATAACGCCTTCGAAAATACTCCTTACGTCCAAGAACAGGATACGATTGAACGCATGCAGTATCATGGATATCGTTCAGTTCGACAATGCTCGTCCTGTTTCCGAACTCCAAGCCGACGACTTTATCCAGCTCGGACGATTGATACTTTGCATCGCAAATAACAATCCCACGGCTCACTTGCAGATGCAAAAGTCAATAGACTACATCACTCGGAGTTATACAGCCCGCCTCAAGGAATGCGTTCAGTGGCTTCTCAACCCTCAACCGTCATCCGGATCGCCATCGTCTCCTACTTCACCTGTGCCGATGCAGAAAGACATTGATACCTTCCTTGCGGGCATCGCTGATCAGTTCGCTTCCGTTTTCGACAGTGAGCTACATGCTCAGGATACACTGATCGTCAACCTTGGGAGAGAGTTAGAATCATCAAGGCTAGTCCGCCTGCTTATCAAACTCAGCATGATCAATGAGCGACCCGAGCTAGACGCCTCCCAAAACATGCCAGGAAATGCTGGTGCAAGTTCATCCACGGTATGGGCGGAGACAGGAGAACGCTACTACCTTAAACTTTTTCGCGACTACGTTTTCCACCAAGTGGATCAGAACGGTCATCCAGTTACCGATCTGGCGCACGTGTTGGACTGCTTGAACAAATTGGACGCGGGTACCGACGAGAAGATACCGCTCATAAGCAGAGACGAGCAGAATGTTTTGATCGTCAGTTACCGCGAGGTGAAGCGGGCGCTGGAGTCGGCCTTCCAAGACTTGGTACGAGCGGGACGGGCGTCTGGGAAATAGGATTCTTCAGACTAGGTTCCGCTTGCTAACCTCATAGTGAACAGCGTGAACGAGAGAATTTCACGAGGAGACCCTCAAGGGTCTCGTCATTGTCGAATCACGGCAGAGGATCATAGTAAGATGTGAAGACAATTGAATGGGTTGGGTTGTTATGAGATGTAGTTGCATGAGTTGTACGAATGGCACAGTTGTTGAATTGCTGGAGTGGTTGGAAACGGGATGGAATGCAAGACGTAGATTATTCATAACGCAATTCAACGCTTTTCGGCTTCATTCATGTCTGAGCCAGTGTATTTGGGGACGTAATCTGGTGGTCGTGGCGTGATATCTGGTATCAATCTGGTGAGCGCCCTGGCAATAGCTCTATCAGAAATTGGTACCCTGATCATGTCTCCCATGTCCCTATTGAGGAACACCCAGCAACCCAAATGCGCCCTCGTATAGACCTGTTCAAAGGAGTTTCTTTTCTCCGTATCAGTAGATGTGGCCGGCGAAACCAGTGGTATTAGCGCGAAGCTTGCTGCCCCTCCTATGAAACCCTGCCCCACATTCAGCACTTTCTCTCCATTCCAACAACAACAACAACGCCATATCACAAATTCTATACCCAAAATGCCTGGAAACTACGAACTACTTTGCCTCGAAAACCCGCTTCTGGATATCCAGGGTGTTGGGTAAGTCAATTGCATTCCGTTTAGCAGTGATATCGCAAGACCGCAATGAGCTCTGCTGACAGCTCGTAGTGACCAGGCTCTCCTCGACAAGTATGGCTTGAAGGCCAACGATGCGATCCTTGCCGATCCCGAGAAGCACATGGGTCTCTACGAGGACCTGATTCAGAACTACAAGGCCGTTCTCATTGCTGGCGGTGCAGCGCAAAACACAGCGAGAGGTGCGGCATATATCCTTGAGCCAAACTCGGTCGTCTACATTGGCTGTATTGGCAAGGACAAGTACGGTGAGACGCTGGAGAAGATCTCTGCCGATGCTGGTGTCAAGACCGAGTACCTCTACGATGAGAAGACGCCCACCGGTCGCTGCGGTGTTGTCATCACTGGCCACAACCGTTCCTTGTGCACAGACCTCGCCGCTGCGAACAACTACAAGCTCGAGCACTTGAAGGAGGAGCGCATCTGGAAACAGGTCGAGAATGCCAAGGTCTTTTACGTCGGCGGATTCCACTTGACTGTCTGTGTTCCAGCTATCAAGGCGCTGGCCGAGGAGGCTGCCGCTAAAGACAAGGTACGACGACCAGAATCTGACTTGAAACCGACTCATACTAACTCCTACAGCAATTTATTCTCAACCTTTCTGCGCCCTTCATTTCGCAATTCTTCAAGGACCCTCTCGACGAGATTCTGCCATACGTCGACATTCTCATTGGCAACGAGACCGAAGCCGCCGCATTCGCCGAAGCCCACGGTTACGAGACCAAAGGATGTCAAAGGAAATTGCGAAGAAGATTGCCAGCTTGCCCAAGAAGAACACCAACCGACCAAGGACCGTCGTCATCACCCAGGGCACCGACCCCACCATTGCCGTCAGCGCAAAGGACGGCAGCGACGTCGATGTCAAAGAAGTCTCCGTGCACGCAATCACCGAAGACAAGATCAACGACACCAACGGTGCCGGTGATGCCTTTGCCGGTGGTTTCGTCGCCGGTATCGTCCAGGGCAAGCCGCTCGAGAAGGCCATCGACATGGGCCAGTGGCTCGCCAAGCTCAGCATCCAGGAGCTGGGTCCCTCGTACCCGCAGCCCAAGCAAACTTACAGCAGCTAAGCGTCTCCCTCTTTACACTTGAGTGAGCGCTGAAGCTCGTGTATTTCAACAATCTACGAGAGAGAGAGAGCATACTACACCGCGACGAGGGGTCGTTGCTTTTGCCGTTCACCAACGATTCTCGTTTTGGTAACGGCATCGCCGAAGATGATAAAGTATCACTGAGATGGTGTGTTTGACCTTTTGGGCGTCTTATCTTACATAAAAGTGGAGATTTGGCCTTTCAACAGCCAAAGATGATACCCTCAGCCAAATATGCTGCTAGACATGAAATAAACATTTTGACGATGCAACATAATATGTTCCTGTGTGTACTGTTGGAGTTGTGAAACATGAGTAGCCTTTTGGAATAAAATGGCCAAACGGGCCACTAGTGGCTTGATATGAGTGAAAGAAACAATAGAAAAAACATGGCAATTAATAGAGTACGGTGTACAACACGTCGTTGAGCATGTTTCAGACATACAGATATGCGTGAGAAGATAGGACATACGTGCTTAGAATTCTTCTTCTTCTAGCCATTTCTGATGTCGGCAGATAAAGTGCATGTGATTTCCATTAAACGATAGATGTATGCATGCTGATGCTGATGTTGGTGCTAATGCTAATGCTAATGCTAATGATGGTTTTTAGTTAAATAGCTATCTTTGGACTACTTTCCACATGTTTGTTAATGTTGATAGTCCTTTGCTTCGCCCATGTGTTTGATTACACATACATACAGTATTATCAGTCAAAAGTGTATTGTACTTCTAGTGCTCGGCCATGTGTGAGATCAATTGTGTCGCAGTTTACAAAGACCTACATTCGTAAGCTACACTAAAGTTTTCTTGTTCATTTGCCAGCTTGTCGAGGATATTACATAAGGGGACAGGTATCTAAATCCTAGTCTATCTGCGTTGCGAAATACAGTTCAAGCAAATTTGTTGTGTACGCTAGAGGCAGCCCTACCTACGTATATTTACTAAGTAAATACTATATTTTACTAAGTACAAAGTATAGAGACAGTGCCTCAACTACTTACTTACATTGTTATTATATTAAAACTGCGTTATAAGAACCTACTACGAACTATCGACGTCACTTATATATACAACAATTATCTAGATCTTGGTATTGCAATGCTGCAAGCAATGCTCCATTATCATGCCAATTTCCTTTCTCATCCAAATCCGATAGCCAATATCACTTGTAGGTTATTTTAGATTATTTCGGACAAGCCTGTCCTATATCTTGGAACTATTAGTGATCGGAGCAGGAAGACCATGTAAAAGGCTGCATTGAACACTCGAAATTTGACCAGCGTCGTATACATAACCGTCCTAGAGTCATTCTACAATTAAATCATCAGGGACTCATCAGAGTCAAATCCACATGACATCGTCATCCATCTCATGATCTATACTGGAAACTATCTCATGGCCGACGCTAACAGCGCTCAATCAACGCCGCCCAATGCTCTACCATCATACAGCTCCTGCTACTCGTCTTCTTCGTCCTCATCTTCCTCGAGATCAGTACGTTCGACAATGAGGTTTCCGCTTCTCCCGATGCGCTCCTTAATTGTGCCACCAGCCTTGAGTTCAAATACTTCTCGCGGCATAGGCGACACAAGCTGAAACTTGTACTCGTGGTCAAAGTTCTCTGGCTCCTTGACATCGGCGCTGCCTGCATCTTCGGACTGCAGGATATCGTGGCATTCTACGAAAGCGTAAAGTTCCTCGATATGTGCGTCTGCGGCAAACTTGCGTACCACGCGGTCTGCATTCGGCATGCGGAGGCTGATCCGGACGATGTCCTTTTCCTCGGTGCCTGGCTCAGGGCGTATTGATGCTGCGCGCCACTTGCGCCATTGTGCGAGGTTCTGTGCGTAACGTTCGATGGCTTGTTCGCGCTCTAGGGCTTCTTTCTCTTCGCGCGCTTTGCGCTCTGCTTCCTCCTTCTTCTTGCGCGCCTTTTCACGGTCGGCGGCTAACGAGCGCTCGTAGGCGCTATTTTGCTGCTCCCGGATATTCCGCGTTGCTTGTTGTTCTGCGCGCTGGCTTCGTACGCGGTTCAAGGGCTCCGTATGTTGCTGCATCGCCTGCCGTAGCTTTGCGATGTACTGTTGTGGTGGCGTGGGTCCGACTACGCGGGTCGCAATTCCCATGGCTGTTGACGAGACCTGTGGTGTATGCACTATGAGCCCTGTGAAGGGGAACTTTGTACACGATAGTGCCGCTGAGACCTGGTATGCTTCTGAATCCTGGACGTTGCCGGCCCACAGTATTATGTTGTTGTCTGGGTGCCGAACAAACTCAACAACTTCTGGTGCGAGCAGAGTATCTCTCACGAATGAGGTTGTCTCATCGTGTTCAGGGCTGACCAGCAATACCATCAAGAACTGGAGGTTCTTCTTCGCCAGGTCAAATGCCTGCGCATAGCCACTTTCAAAGAAGGGCAGATTGTGACTCCCGTATTCCTCCTCAAATTCCCGGATGAATCGTGCGGCCGTATCGCGTGGGTTCAAGGGCCTTCGTCCGCTTGCGCTGCGTTGAGAAGCGGGTGTGTTGATATTGCTGGCTGTAACCCGTCCCCATGTGCGGGCAAGGAAAGGGAACAGCCAACCTAGTAATTGGAAGCCCTTTGAGACAACCGAGTACAACAGCGAAATTGGCGCGAATAGTACGGCAAGTACAAGAGGAGCTTGTGTTCTGACTTGGCTTTCTGGCTGCGGGACAACCCGAGGCGCAGATTCTATCCGTACTAGCCGCCCGCTACTCGTTGAAGATCGCGGAGTTGCGAAGCCATTCAATAGTGTCTCTTGTCGGCGAATGTCTTGTGGTGGTGGTTGCGCGGCGGCGGCAGCGGCGACGGGGTCTTCGGTTGGTTCACCGTCAAAGAAACGGGTTACCGCGATATTTACATTCCATTGTGCGCGCTGCAGAATGGGGATTGCCTCAGGTGTTGCCTGATCAGTGACGGCGGTGTATTGTTGAAGTGCAGCTTGTTGGTCGGGTGTAAGAGATGCGAGGTCTACGACGGCGTCCGCCATCTTGAGTATGGAAACGACTCTTGGTTGATAGATTGAACTGTGCGCGAATATTCCTAGATTACTTCTTACGGGGAGAAATATGTACCGGAAAGGACTGTGTGGTGAGAAGCGGGATGGTGAAAGTACAGAAATTATGTGTTAACGTTGCCTGGCCTTTACGGCACTGATGATGTACCTAGGGTGGTCGGAGCTTCTGCCCATGAGCCCTCGACCACAGAACGTCACGGCTGATTCTCGGCACACTAGCAACCCGCGGGGTAATGCCCAAGTATCCATAATCGTGCTCTGGTTGTCACGATGGATTCGTGATAGAAACTTGGGAACCACTGCATAACTTTATCCGGTGCACAATATGAATATCGGGTACCGCTCCGAAAGGGGCCTTAGCCCCTTTCGGACATGTACACCGTATTTCCGCACATACGAGAAAACTCAACCATGTTGCTTGTGATCATCGAGGAAGATGGTGTTTTATCGTGAATTTCATGTCTGAGTCTATTCGCTGCGTTTTTGAAGTATTTTGCCCACTGTTCATAGAATTGTATGCCTCAGGCGGTGTGTATAGAAATATGTGTTCAAAGAAAATGTGCTCGTACGAACTTAATGCAAGTGTGAAATGTATCATGAGAGCAAGCACAACTGCCTGTGTTCGCCATACCTTTGTGCCAAATATTCCATAGCCAAAGACATCATCACAAGCCACACTGACACCCGACATAAGGGGCTCAGACATTTATGGTAACAATGATGCAGCCACAGCTACACGGCACCGCTCTGCAACATGTTGAAGACCTATACTATGCACAACATCTGTATCTAGTCGCCTCACTTTGATGGGAGACAGTGACAGGAGTGAAATTTCACTTAGCACCCCAAGTGACAAATTGTAACCAAACCAGGTCATCCCTACCCCTACTAGCAACCTGACAGGTGTTGTTACGGCCCTGTTAGTTTTTTGTGTTCGACCCAGCCCCACATCGCTTCAAACCCGCTTTTTTTGCCCAAAATTCATCCAAACTTCGTTTTTTCCAAATGTCTCGAGTAATATATGCACTATATATTGTTTATATTGTTTCTTTCACTCATATCAAGCCACTAGTGGCCCGTTTGGCCAAGCGGTAAGGCGTCGCACTTGTATCTAAGGAGCAATGCGAAGATCACTCGTTCGATTCGGGTAATGGGCAATTTCATTTTTGGAAGTTATGAATCCACCACGCCTCACGGCCGGGGTTCAGATGTTTTTTACGCATCTATAAGCGTCTAACACTCACCTTTGCCTACCAGAATAGTCATTGGCATTTTTTGGACAATTAATGGATTTTTGCTGTGGCAAGCGGCTGGGCAAAGCTTGGCTCAAACTTGTCTATTATGAAGCCGCCACTATACACTCATCCTCTCACTACATCTACAAATGAACATCAAGCTGTAAGGCATGCCTTACAGGCAGCCTTGCACTGTATTGCTGATTATGATATCCGTGGTACATTTACCTATGTAGGTACCGCCTGGGTGACATGAAATACTTGACATGCGACTATACAACGGCTACTGTAGTCGCCACGCACGCCTATCAAGAACAACACGATCTAATTACCCTTCTAAGTATATTAAGCCAGCCAAATGATACCGCGATACCAAGGTAGCTGTTTGGCTGCTATGGACACCTCGCGACCCTTGAGATTATGAGAGCTCAAGGCTGACACAGTTTATTTCCTCCTCAGAGGGCACAGATGTACGTAAATTCTATGTCTCATACTCCAATAGCTTTCATGTGATCGGGTCTTACTATTTGCCCTTACGCTGAAAGCTGCAGGAAGCTCGCTTATCATGAAAACAGAAAATAATTCCTGATTGGTATACAGTAGTCAAGAGAGCTATTTGATGTTGGTCTATCTTTCTCCGTTAGTTCCTTATATACCATGCCACATTAGGGGGTTAAATGATATAGTGACGTTGACCAATGTCTTTTATATGAAATGTCCTTGGTCATGTTCGTCAAGATCTCAGTTTCCTACAGAAGGATGTGTCTTCTCACGTACGGAATACCTGTCACGAGAGGCAACGAGCAGTAATCTCAGAACTTATGAAGAAGTTTGATTTGTGTGCTACGTACAGTACTCAAGTGTAAATACAAGACGTTGCGTGAAGAAACGAAGTGGAGAGTTCCACCAGAGAAAGATATATAGCGGAAGGAAGCTTGTGTGACGTCATACAGATGTCGGGGCAGTAGCATACTGTCGAGGATAGTACATTGCGCTGTTGCGATAGGAGCGTACGGGTTAAGAGCAGGAGCGCATGGGTCAGAGGCAGGAGTGTCAAGGGGACCACGGTGGTTACCGTGACAATACCCTCCTCTTTCACTTTATTTATGACAACGCAGCCGCGTCGTATATACGCTATGACCTAATTCACTGTCGCCCCAACAACCACTTAGCAGTCGACTAGCGAGGGGCGTAGTCCTCATGATCGAGTCAGAGTTCTGGGTCATGAAGACGTCATTGGATTCCTTACTGCCCCACCACCAGCTGCGCATTGGCCTTGACATAAATGCCTCTTACTCGCGCTAGGGCCATACCTGACTTAACAGACTTAGGTCACCGCGCCCTTCATTTACTAGCTAGTATACTACGGCATTGGAGAAAAAGGAGGCTGTTGAGAATTACACTGACGCATGTCTGCTTGAAGGAAAAAGAGCGGATGTTTTTCGTGTCAGTATGGGAGAGTTGCAAAGGCTTGAGTAAAAAATAGAAATGGGTATGTAAATTTATATTATGTAGATGGTTATCAGTATAGAAGAAGGCAGTAAAGGGTGCATTTTTACATCTAAAGGATTATCATGATTTTATTCGTCTGATATAATAATACAATCAATTTTACTTAGGTTTTAGTTAAAACCTTAGATGTACGAAGGGAAATCTTGTTAGTTGGTTATTCGTACGATTACGTTTTCAATTTCCCTTACTCAACGGAACATTCACAAGTGGACAATTGATAGAATATTTATTTCGTGATATCATTTCATTTCGATTTCGCTGCACGATATTTTATGTGCGCGACACTTGATTTACAAGAAACTTGGCTTAAACCTTCTGCTCATGCCTGTGGTGCTGCGACTCCGGCGCTTCCTCAAGTTGCATAGCTACCGCCTTCTCGCCATCAGCATCCAACATGTCAGAGACACCGCCAGTGCCCTTTGTAAGCTCCGCACCCTTGCGGCCGATAAGGTACCAGGGCAGACTGAACATTGCATCGAGAGATTCGAGCGACTTTCCAGATGTCTCGGGAAGGAAGAAGTAGACCCAGACAAGACCGATGAGAGTGACGGCAGAGAAGAACATCATTGTGCCTCCGTGAGTCATGGAGATGAACATGAGAGGCACAGCTTTTGAGTTTCCGTACTGATTGACAAAGTGGAATGTCATGGCGATGGAACCACCCAGAGCACGGAGTCGGAGAGGGTAGATTTCAGAGTTGATGAGGTACTGGATCGAGTTCCATCCTAGAGCCCATCCGAAACCAGAGATGTAGACCATGACGATGGCACCCATGGCGGCGTGTTTTTCAGCAGAGGTTTGGGGCTTGCTCTTGTCTGAGACTGTAGTGTCGCAGAGGAGGAAGATGGCCATGTAAAGCATGGATGTGAATTGTAGACCAATACCAGAGAACAGAGAGCGCTTACGGCCGAGGTAATCGATGAGGAAGAGGGCGCAGAGTATGGAACTGATGAACTTTACGACACCGAAAATGGCAGTGGCAAAGAGCTTCTCGTTCTGACCAGTCGTGCCCATCATTTCAAAGTACTTGGGAGCATAGATGGTAATGCTGTTTGCGCCGGACCATTGTGCGAGCAATTGGGACATGACCGAGAGTTGGATGCGGTAGAGGTTGGCCTTGCTTGAGAACAACTCGCGGAGAGGTCCAAGCCAGGTCGTACCCATGGTAGCCTCACGCTCGCGGTTGAGCTGGTCGTTGATATCCATGATCTCAGCGAGGACATAGGGGTGGTCGGCAGGAAGGTTACGAAGCTGGGCCATGTTCTTTAGGGCCTCCTCGTGGCGACCGACTTTGATCAACCAACGTGGGCTCTCCTTTGCACCCCATGAGAGTGCGAAGATGACACCGGCGAACATGATGTGCATGCTGTTGGGAACGAGCCATTGTGCATCCGTTGCCTCTGAAATGTGGATGGAGGAACCCCAGGATGCGAAGTAAGCAAGCATGATGCCAAGATACACGGATCCGGAAAAGGCACAGACACAGAGGCCACGAATAGCTCTAGGTGCGGTCTCAGCCAGGTAGGTGGGAGCAACGACGGTAGTCTGTCCAATACCAATACCAGCAATGAAGCGACCAGCGTAGATCTGTCCAATCGATCCAGTGAGAGAGCTGGTAAGGGAAGATGGTGATACCGATAACCCAGACGAGGCAGAGCTGTCGTGTGGCCCAGAATACGACCGATCTTTGTCGGTGACGAAAAAGGCAAGCAAAGCGCCCAGGATGGAACCCATTTGGACCATGGACGTGATGTTTGACAATAGTTCTGCGACTTCGTGTTCGGACTTGTTCTTGTCTTTGAGTCCAAACTTGATCTTGAAAGGCTCCAGCTCAGAGGTGGTTCCGATAAGACCTTCATCAATACCTCTGGCAGCTCCCATCAGACCGAATACTGTGTTATGTTAGCCATATGAACTGTATAAAGAAGTATGTTCTGATAAAGTGGTGCGCGCGCATCTTGGACAACACCACTCAAAAGCAAACAGCATATCGATCTGACTTACCAAAAACTCCATACCAGAGACGCCAGTTAAGGCTCTCCTTGGGAGTATCCTTTAGGTTTTCGCGCCACGGGTTCCACATGTTGGGCAGAGTTCCAAGGCTTGCAATAGACGATCGGATTGCTGCTTGATCTGCGAAACCTGTGTCCAAGCAACAGGGAGGAGAGGCAGTAGCACTTTAGAAACTGTAAATGAGCGCTCCTCTTATACCTGAACTGATGGTGGGGTACGACAGGCGGGGATGCAAAGTGTGCCATACAGCAACCGTATTGCTTTGGCCTACCCCAGACCCGAATCCGGAAAGCTCGTCTCCACGTTTGCTCACGGCCAGTAGCCCCGGGCTTCTATCGAGCGAGAGGCACCGGATGACCTTCCCAAGTTTCTTCATTCCATCATTCGCGTAGGACGACCCTGGCTGTCGGCTTGAAGGCGTTGGTACCTTACTTGGTGTGGTATCCCGACCGGTGATCCACTGATCAAATACCGATAGAGCACCCACGCCTTCAACCTAGTGCGACAACCCTCCGACGCATGCCCAGCAACGCGGGTAAAGGTTGGCAGGCTTGAGTGGAACAAAGCTTCCACGTCAGTGCGTAGCGTAGAGCTTGGCGTGAAGCTAATGTGCGAGTCAGCATTGGCACCACCACCGCTACGAACCCCGCATAATCCCCCAAGCAGACGCTCGCGTCCCGGATTTTCACGAAAAGCTGACAGTCTAGAAGAAAATCATTAACCTTTCTTGTCAGTGACCGCAGAAGAGCCGCCATTGCTTTGGATGTTATTGGCAGGGATCACTGCGGGAAAACCTGTCAACTGCGGTTAATCTCCAACCCGCGGACACCATCTCACGCTACCTCGTAACGAGTCTCTCTCGCCGGTAAAAGTAGGTCCGAGTGATGCCGGGGCCAAGACTGTTGGTCTTTGAAATATCAACCCCCTACGGAGACCCCATTAGGGCGGCATGGTCACACGCGATGCGGCTCCAGTTCCCTCCGTAGCGTGCATTCCTGGCGCCAGATTTAGCTTGTACCAATGCAAGCGGTGCTTGGAATGCTTCGCCTCTTGTTGAGACGTCTTATCGCCTGGCGCAATGTACGTACGAAGGGTGTTTTTCTTACGACCGACCACACCCTCAAGTAGATAGCTCAAGTAGATAGTCGGACCGCTCATCGGTGTCTTGGTGTATCTCGGTGTCGCATACTCGTCAACAAGGGATTTGATGAATTCCCGTATGCTCCCATGGTTCGTGTAGGATACGAAATTAGACCCGTCGAAGCGTTGTGCAAATGCATGGTTAGAAAATTCATCCATCTGTACGGCTGCGGCTGACTCATGACTCGGCAGTTTTCACAAAACCCGACGATTTCAATCGCCGTGGCTGGACTGTCGCCTCCGTCGTCGTACTTGGCGGAGGCCAGGCTCCGAGAATACTCAAGTTTCTCCACAGGGCGTTTTACTCATTGTCAATATTCTCGTACGAGATGACGGGAGCCACATGTTGCCACGTCCAAAGGAGATGGATGTCCGTTGTTAGCAATATCGTCTCCACAATCTTATCTGCACAACCCCAAACGCTTTGACCATCTTCTCCACGCAGGTCTGCAATAATAGAGGGGCTGCCAAAAAATAAGCTCAATATCTCCGCGAAGTGCTTGCTTTACCAGGTAAACGGTCTTTACAAGTGGCCCCAATAAATGGAGAAGCCAAGTCAATGGTGCTTGCCCAGGTATGCAGCGTCAATCGCTCTGATCCGGGGAAAGGTGATGTTCACCAGGGGAACTGTATGTTCAAAACAGTTGAGAACATTACGCACAATTGTCTCATGGATGTCATAGCTCTTGGCTAGATTCTTGGGTGTCCTGACAGTGAGCTGTGGGGCTTGATGCGCGTGCGTGCTGTCGGATAGGTAGACTGCATCCAACCATGGAATGGATGGCTGCTAACCACGCAGCATGGGATGATGAGATCTAGACGTGCTTGAAGAGATTCGACTTGATTGGATTGACATCCCGTGCGAAAAAAATAGTACACGTGATGACACCTCCACCGGAGGGTGCTCCTTTCACGCAGTGTTCATCATACCGATAACGGTCGTAGTCATGATGCGAGTAAGTCGAGATGTGCCGATTTTTCCGTGGAGACAGTGGGTCATACTTTCCTGCTTTTAGCCCCCCCAGGGTCAAATACGGTAGCGTCTGTTTAATCATGTGAGTGTCGGAGTTCCAAGAGTCGGGTGCAGAAGAGGATGCCTATTGAGAATTATCGCATGATATCGCGGAACTTCGTTGCCGGAGAATTTTCGTTGAGTAACAGGCCGGTCTTTCCACAAGCTGACAAATGTTGATTCGTGGTTAGCGGCGAGGGTAAACCTGCTTGGCTGTGTGGATATCAACCAAGACGCCAATGTTGGGGATGACCCATTTATACGTCTTGGATGGGGTACTTGAATCATGTACTCTGTACCTGGGAGTCAACCCCGCTGCGGAGAAGAATACAACTGGAGTACGGGGGATATTTTGATGCCGATGATTGCTGATTGAGCATGTAGGATCAGAACTCGTGATGTAAAAAGACCTCGGTTGGCGGCAGCGGTGAAGGATCTGATGAGGCGTGTGATAGAGTGGTGGAGAAGAAGGATTTCGTGGTTTCTAGAAATGGGAAAGTGTAGCGGTGTACTCACTGTATTGACATGGATTTCAATACCTGTTCCAAGATTGATTTGTTGTGACCGGCTTGGAATTAACCAATTTGTAGACGGCAACCACGTCTGGGCAACACTCCCTGGAGGTAAGAATCTAAAAAGCTCGGCAGGGCTCTCGTTTCAACCATGTAATCGATGACTCTCAAGAGTCGAAGTTGAAAACCAAAAAAACCGAATAAAAGTCTCGAACATGGTGAAAACTACCTCCACATGATCCAGTAAGAGGACACTGGGACGTTTAGTATGCGCCTATGCTTTTGATGTATACGAACCACCCGGAAATCCGAAGCTATGACACGGAAAAATTATCCTTGAGAATCATCGCCCGAAAAGCTAAGAAGGTACTCAGAGAAGGCTAAGCTATGACACGGAAATGCTAACCTGGGAAGTCATCACCTAGAAAATCGAAGCTATAACATGGAAAAGCCAGCATTAGATGTCACCGCCCCCAAAAAGGTAAGCCATCGCCTAGGATAAGCCAGGTCATCAATTCACCCGGAAATCGCCAGCCATCACCGGTGAAAGGCCGTGCCATAATCTTCCGCCCCAATCATGTACATGTGCATTACCATTGTCTACGTTGACCACCTAACGTATCTGCCTAACCACGCATCTATAAACCCAAAAAGAAAATACCCACTTCACAAGGCACAAAGTTGAACTTGCCAAACTACCTCTCCCTCCCCGGCAACATCGACACCACCACTACTTCCACGCCTACAGCTCAACCCATCAGTCCATATCCACCCCCGTCATCTCCATGCCCATCTCCACCAACGACGGATACCCCGTCAACTCTAAACTAACATCCACCCCATGCATTTTCCTAAACTTAGTCCTCGCATCCATGGTGCTCTTCTCCACTTTCAATTCACCAGGATACGTAGCAATCAGTCTCTCAAGTTCGCGTCTTGGTATCCTGAACATTGCCATGATCTTGATTTCAGTCGGCAATTTGCTGTTATTGTTTTTGTTGTTCAAGGAACCCGAAGTAGACTTGGAAGATGTACTGCTGACTTTTCCGTGGCCATAGTTGAAACTAGGGTCGGGTACGCCAGGGTACAGGACGTCGCGGAGGTTGAGGCAGAGGGATTCGACGCCGATTTCGCGCTCGAAGCGGAGGAAGGAGTTGTAGAGGTGGTGGGGGTCGATGGTTGGTGGTACGCCTGGGGGAGGCGGCGGGGGAATGTTCAGTTGATGGTTCACATGGGCTTGGTGGACTTGCTGGGCTAGCAGCTGGAGGTTTGGAGGGGCGTGGTGTTGGCCGGCTTGAAGCGGCGGTAGGGGATGATGATGGTGGTGCGGTACGTGACCACCTAATCCTCCTAAAGCTCCTTGTGCGAACTGTAAGAAGGGAATGGCGGGCGCTTGAGGGGGAGGGGGAGGGGGAGGCGGGATGTGGTTCATGTTGTTAAGCTGGCCACCTCCTTGTCCTAGGACTTGTGCGATGCTGTGATGCAGCTGTCCTAGAGTATGGTGAGTAGCTTGGACATGTCCTGTCATTGCTGCCGCGCCCACTCCAGCGGCACCTGCGGGTACTGGTTGCAGTCCTGGTGGCAGTGACACTGTCCCACATCTTAAGAAGACCCATACACTCCTCAGCTTGGGCAAATCATGCCGTAGACTCCTGTCTTCCTTCCTGCTACCGAGGTAAGCTGTCCATATCCTCAGGTCCTTCTCTCTAATGCGAAAGAGCACACTTGTTATATTGGTAGAGGCTGGAGGCGTGACGACGCGGAAGATGTTTAAATCGCTCGGGTGCGTAAAGAGGAACTTGTTTTGCGAGTAAAGTATGTCCACGGTCTCGGTATAGACCTGTTTATTCGCCCGAAGAAGAGCGACATTGACGTTGCGGTGGTCAATGGTGGCCAACTCGGGGGCTTTGCCAGGCCACCAAAAGGGCGCTCTCGATACGAGCGCAAATTGATAGACGCGGTCGCGAAGTTCCCTTGGTAGCGATAGCAGAAGCGAAAACGACGGATCGGGTTGTGCAGCGTGCGGGAGTCGTGGTGGAGGCATGGTTGCTGCGCTGTGTGAAGGGTTGCGGAGTCGCGCTGGTCGGCTTGGAGACAGCGGGGGCGCGTCTATCATGGTAGCGTCTGAGGAGCTGCTACTGCTCGATGCCGAACGCGACCGTGAGGGGGTTGAAGTGCGAGAAGTCATTTTCCTTCAGCCTAACCGCGCAGGTGTTTGCTTGTGAGTCGTTGCGGGGCTTTCGGTGCAATGCGACTGTGACGCGATGTACAATAGGGCGCAATCACTCGACAAACGGAATTGCGCAATGTCCGAAAGTGGTAGGAGGCGTCAGAATACGGCAATACACGCGCAGGCAGAAGTAGTACGTAGTCGTCGCCAGGACGGCCGAAGTGAGAAAGGAGTGAGGGGAAGTTTCGAGCGGGATGCGACAGTGTACCCAAGTCCCTCCATCACCACCCAAGCGCTCGGAGCACGGCTGTGGCTAGGCGCTGACGACGATCACTTGTCGTAACCCCCAACCACTTGGGCTCTGATTTGACATGACTATGGCTGCGCCGCAATATCCCTAATTCATTTTGACAGTATTCGGTCCTGTATCGTTGTCGAGCGGACGTCCGTCTGCAGGTACGCCGTACTGGCTGAACAGCGATGATCCACGGTGGTATGTGGGGAACCGAATCGATCCGCCTACCGCTGGCGCAACGTTGCGCTGTCATACGGCGTTGGAAATCCACAATCACACAGAGAGACCAATCTTATCATGTGCAAGGTACCAAGATTGCATGTGACGGATGTAGCCCTGATGACAGACTGATGACAGATTCTTGGTCTCATGTGACGCTTCTAGCCACAACGAGCCTCATCCTGACACAACACCAAACTTGGATGAAGATGCTATTGCTTCGAATTGTATATGCCATTCGCCTGGATGGCTGAATGAAGTAAATCACTGCTTAATGCTGACTCACATATCATCACTTGAAAACCTTTGGGTTGCAACATGGCCGTTATTACTCTCAAATATATGTTCCCAAGTTCATATATCACAACCAAGTATATCAAAACTTTTTTCCAAGAACCATCTCTATTTTTCTCCTGTAACCCTACAATGTGCAAGAATTCGAAAACAGCAAGAACACCGATGGTGCAATGCGAAGCGTCAATATATACCAGAAGCCTAACACCCAATGAGTAGGTAAACCCATCAACCACCTCCACCAGGCAAAACACCGCCTCTCTACTTCGCCTTGCCAGCCAACCGGCTGCCCCGCCGTGTCTTCATCGCCGCGTCCCTACGCACATCCGCCGCAGACTTGACCCGCGAAGGCGGATCATTCCGTCTAAACTTCATGCTGCTCGATACGGGCTGTGCATTGAAGCTAGCGGTGCGCGGCTTGCGCCAGCCACGAGGGCCAACGCTCATGGTGCTGGACTTGCGGCGCTGCAAGAGGGCGTCAATCTGTGATTGCGAGAGCGGCTCGGCGTTGTCGAATTCGGGCAGGTTGGAGAGGTCGAAGTTGTCCCAGTCGATGCCGTCACTAGGGAACAGATGGCTGAGGCTGCCGCGACGGGTGTCAGGGGGTTGCTGCGTGTAGATGATGGGTTGGGCTGGGCGGTAGGCAGCATGAGGGTGTGGTGGAGGCGAAGGCAGCGCGGTAATTTCCTGGGGCTCAGTGTAGTTGATGCGCTGGACCTTGCGTGGGCTGGAGCGTGTGCCGTGCTGAGGTTGAGTGGCAGTACCAATCTCCTCATACTCGTTCCCTTCCTCGGAAGAGGACGAGTACCTATCCTGGTAACGCTTCCACTTGGTAGAGGGGCGCTGGGGGGGAGGAGCCTCGTCCCCTGAGGAATCGCTATCATCAGCTTTTACACGCTTGTGGGAGTGCTTGACACGCTTGAGGGGCAGGGCGCTGAATGCTCGTCTTCCACGATGGGAGCAGCACGACGCTTCTTGCCACGGCCGGCGGCAAATGGGCCTCAATCTCATCACGACGAGCCTGCGTCCTCGGCGAATGCGGAATGTCGATCTCAGGATGGAAGTAGTCGTAGTAGGCCGAGTAGTCGAAATCCTTCTTGGACAGTCACCACCTACCCATTCCCTGAAAGCGTCCAGCTTCTCAATCTTCTTGTCAACGAGCTTCACCTCAATGTCACCGCGGTGAATGGTGAAGGACCCAGGACGGATCGTACGCTGGCAGACGAATTGCTTCATCTGCGATGGCGCACGATGCTCAATGTTCATCTCGTACAACGCGTAAACAAGAGTGAGCTCATGAGGCTTGGGCTCGCCATGGGCATAGTGCTCGTGAACCGGGTAGTTCTTGAAATCGCGAGTCTCGCTCAGACGCCCGTTCTTACAAGCCTTGATGAATGTGCTAGCGACAGCAACCTCGTTGTAATGCTTGTGGCCAAAGGCAGCTGCAAAGACACCTTTGGGCTCCGCCGCGAGGCTCACACGCTCATCGACCTTGACGTTGGCAACCTGGCAGATGTAGGCAAAGTCCAAGAAGCGCTCCATACAGTACAGATGCGCATAACCAACACAGTCGTATGGGTCAGCTACTCCTTTACCGTACATCATGTGCTTCTCGTCGAATGCAACGCGGTAGTTGCCAACCTCAGTCGTACCCTTGCCAGTGTACTTGCGCATCGGACACTTCTCAAAACGACAGTGATTTTGAGTAGCAGAATTGTAGCGACGAGCAGAGTCGGAAGCTACAGGCTGGATCCAAATGCGCAGGTCACCAGGGTACTGGGTGATGTACTCGTGAATCTGGCGAGCAGACATGGTGCGCTTCTTGAACTCGTGCATGTGACCAATTTGTGTGTACTCAAACTTGTAGTTGGTCGACTCCCAGTCACCATGAGGAAGATCCATCATCTTGTACTTGTCGCCTTCCTCGGTGTACTGATTGATGCGAGCTGTGCGCGTCGTCTCACCACGAGTCGAGGTGTTGATGCGAACCCAAGACTTCTCCTCGACCTTCTTAGGCTTCTGGCCAGGCTTGACCACGGCGGTCTTGACAGGCTTGGTGATCGAAGAAGTGGACGGGCGACGGGAAGAGATTGCTGGAGGCGTGTGCTTCCCTTCAACTGGACGTGTTCGCTTGATAAGGGGAGCCTCATCGTCAGAGACCGATCCAGAGCGCTTGCGCTTTTGGACAGTTGAGACCGATGTCTGGCCCCAGGACTGTATATATGATCCTGAGGCGACTGGCTGCTCATATTGCATGGGAACGTATCCATTGTAGATCTGTGGTCGGTAGTAAGGCCCAGTCGGGTATAGTGTATAAGAATCGGGATCGGGATATATATGTGTAGGCTGAGCAGGCAATTCGGGCTGTGTATAATCAGTGCCTTGAGGTAGTGCACTGAGCCCAGGTGTGATGCCCCAGAATGGTGATAGCGGGGTCGTGTTCGTGTTGGGATCCCAGTCTTCAAGGGCTGGATCTATAGGAACTACTGCATTAGACGAGGCGTTTGCATTGTCGACCATACTCTTGGGCATGGTCGGAGGAATCTGAATGCTATATGTGGGCGAAATGCCCAAATCGTTTCCACCAACCTGTTGGGTTTGGATAGATGAGTAGCCCAAGCTGTTTCCAACAATCTGCTGGGTCTGGATAGATGAAAAGCCCAAACTACCACCCCGTTGAGGCTGTTGAGGTTGTTGAAGGGGGTCCTCAATAGTCGAGAATTGTGACATGTCGAAATCTTCAAAGTTGGAAAAGTCATACAGATCCAAACCCAAGAAATCGTCTGAACCGCTCAAGGCGGGTTTGTAAGTGTTATAGAGAGTATCTTGTTCAATCGAACCAGGCAAGCCTACTACACCTCCAGAATCGCTCGCCTGCCGAGCACCAGCTCGGTTGCGAGGGCGCGGTGATGGCATGCTACCTTTACGAGAGGGAGCATGAGTTGCGTCGTTTCCGGAAGCGGAGTAAGCCATGGTCGAAGGGACTGCAGTAGGATCGTCGCGAGGTGTTCCTGAACACCTTGATGATCTGCGTAGTGAAGAGCTGATTGGGGATATTCTGAAACAAACTTTATAGAGTGCTAGGTTGCTTCACAGCGCAGCGTGCGGGGTACATATATCAGAGCTCACAACGTTCTTTATCGAGGACTCTAACGAACATATATAGATTGAACAAAGAAATATGTATGGTGTAGTCTAGAGTGCTTTCCCTTGTGCCAAACCTACAAGGTGAACATCAAAGGATGGCATCAATGGGAGGCGGCATTGTTCGAATCCTTCAGGCATTGTTTGAAGTCGTCATGACTGAAGACTGAACGTGGTGGCAAGATACAAATCGAAGCCACCATTGTCCAAGATCACAGCAGGGTACAGATTGAACTGAGGGATTGCAAACTGTTGCTTGTTAGCTACTGAACTCGGAGAGTGACCATGAAGTAGCGATATGCAAATAAGCTTAATCAGAAAATATAAAGCAAAATTTTCGACACAATTTTTACGAACAGGTCTGTGAGTTTTGTCTTTTTTTCATCATATAATAGGTTAGATAGAAATTGATATAACATACCAGAGAGTATACTCAGATATTGGGGTATTCAATCTAGGCTATTGGTGAGTATATCCGCTACACATCCAGCCATCATTGCAATGCGCGTTTGCAAAAGGGTCTACGAGTCGATATTGTAGCTGCGGGTGAAGGGAGAGTCCAGGCAGAAGCATCATCGAGATTTAGTGACGCTCCAAAGCGCCAGCAGCGCTGCTTTGGTGTCGTGAACATCAATGTCAAGCGACGAAGCTCGAGGGACAAAGAAATGTTTTTAAGCTCTGCACTAGTGTCGGAATATCTGTATATCCGACATCCGGAATCACGTGCCCGTACCCAACCACCTCCAGCCTTTGAACACCAGCGCCTTGACCTTGCGCCTTACAGAACGCCGCTTTACAAGTGCCGCTCCTACAAACCCGCAGATGTGGTCTTCCCGAGTATCGCAGCGATCAAACGCATGTGCCGCGTGGGCACTTGCTTTGTTTGATGATGCTTCCAGCCGGCGTTCTTCGGTCCGAAACACGCTTCACACTGCAATGGCCAAACGCGAAATGTTTAGTCAAACGTGGACGACGGAAGCTATATCAAATCCTTTACGCCTATAGAACCACAGACGAGACGATGCGAGCAAGTAGGAGCGAAGGAAGGGTGGTAGAGGGACAGGTTTAGAGATGATCTCCGATCGGCATGTACCTCGGTCGCTTTGAGGGCTGGAGTCGGGAGCTATTCATGGATATGTTCGTGATTGTTTGAACCAACAGGATCTCTACCGCTCTGCCTGTGGCAAGACGTATCACTAGCTTCATGGTCTCACGATGCTTTTGAAATGTGACTCGTGCATGAAAGACATCTAACCAGTCGGACCAAAATATCCCACCTCCTCGAACAAGTCCACGCAGCCACGCACGTATTTGCCTCAACCCACCCCTCCACCCTCCAAAGCCAAAAAAGCCATCCCTGGCGTTCGGCAGACCAGCCCCAAAGAAATCCCAGCAGCAAACTGCCGCAACGAGGCTATTTACACCCGTTCTCGCCTCATCCAAAGCACATAGCAGGGATAGTACCCATCGATGTGGCATCATAGTCAAAGTTTCCGAGCAGATCATGGCAGGACAGAATCCGGCTGATGCTCTAATCGCGTTGACGCCAAGTAAGTCTGGGATACTTCACACAAGATGCTTGTACAAGGGCAATCGCAAACCATTGCTGTAGCCGCGACGTGAGGCTAGCCAATCGACGACGACACACAGACCAACAAGGTTCACCATCCCATACCACACCTGCAACGCCTTGACCCGGAAACATGGTCTACCGGGGGTAATCATGTCAAGAGAAGAGACATGGTGTTGAAGAATGTACTTTAACCCAGTTCACAAACATCCCCTTCTTTTCTTGCTTCCTTTCGACTGTCGATTATTTCGATCTTCACGTCACCGCTTGGGTTGGCAACTACTGATCGACCCCATACCCTCAACTTTCCTGTCGTATTGTGGTGGCTGTGCTTTTTAATTCTTTATTTCAATGTTTATTATCTGATTCTTGTTATATTCTTATTTATTAATGATGGATAGCCAAAATCTGGGGGAGCTGGTGCTCCTCGGAAGAGTCATCTTTTCTCTCATCGTCACTTTGCTCATTTTGAGCTACGTTACCGTCGGCCTGAGGTTATGGGTCCGGTATCGCATCACGAGGTCTCCTGGTTGGGATGATGCGGCCATGGTGGCTACGCTTTTCTTGTTTAGTGCGTATTGTGCGTTTATCCTCGCTATTGCTCGTCGGACAAAGAGAGCGGCGTACAAGCCTTATGATGAAGATGATGTTCGGTTGAGCTTAATTGTATGTATACTTCTCCTGTCCCTTCTTCCTCATCCAGAACTAACAAACATCTTCCAGTTCGTCCAACTCTCCGAAGTCTTCTACATCCTCACAACCACCCTCCTAAAAGTCTCCCTCGGCCTCTTCTTCCTCCGCGTCCTCACAAAGAAATGGCAAAAACTTATCTTCCACATCGCCCTTGTCATATCCACTATCTACGGATTCCTCTACGTCTTCGTTGCCCTCTTCCAATGCGGCGACCCCACTCGTCTGGCTGACAACCTCTTACACCCCTCTTCCCCAAACTGCCTGCCATCGGCTTTCCTCATGTGCACGGGCTACGTGTACGGCATTATCAATGTGATAGCGGACTGGACGTTTGTGCTATTGCCGGTTAGTGTGCTCATGGACAGTGATTTGGATAGACGGTCCAAGATTAGTGTCAGTATTGTTATGTGTCTGGGAGCCGTAGGCAGTGTGAGTTCAGTACTGAGAATGGTTTACTTGAGTGGGTTGGAGCTCCAGAGCGTGGGCTTGGTTTCTGGTATGTCTTCTCTTCCTCCTCTCTTCTCGTCTCTCTCCCGTGATCTAGAGCTAACTCATGACACAGTCATATCCCGCAAAGTAACAATCTGGGCCACCGCCGAACCCGGAACCGGTATCGTCGCTGCTTCCGTCGCTATCCTGCGGCCCCTTGTCCGCAAAATGGCTGCCGATGTGCGCGAAAAGGCAAAAATGCATTCGCGCAAAGGGAGCCATCAATCTGATGATACTATTCGTCTGACACGTCGGGCGTCTTTCACCCCACCATTCAAGAAGAAGCCAGGCATGTACAGCTTAAACAGCGAGGACGACGAGAATCCATGGAGTCCGACGTTGATGGCTGAGGAGCGTGGTATGGGCGGTGACGTCATGCCGAAGATGATTGTAGTCAAGGGAATGATGAGTCCAGCGATTGGGCCAAAGGCCATGCCTGATGATATTGTTTGAACAAATGAGAGCAAGAGTAGATTCTCCAATCTTCATCTTCTCGTTGGAGTGTATATATCAATAGTAAAACTTGTAAAAAGTGTAAAAGAATAAGCATAGGAATGAAAATATCAATGCGTTTTTTTCAGATTATTAATCGTAGTTTAATGCATACGATTTCCTGTATGAAAGTCCAATCCAATCCATTTATACTTGATTCATGCACCATTCCTATACTGACCCCAACTATCTTACGACACCAACTCATCATACTGTCAATTCCATTTTCTCGGTTACCCTCTTCTTGCCAACGCGTACCGTGGCGTTGTGCACAACTTCCGCCTTTACTCTGCTCCAGGTGTATGTTTGCTTTGTGATTATAGGACTGACTGCAAACACCACTTCACGGTCACACGGATTCGAAACTACCCTTGACGTTGTGGTCAATATATCGCCATACAGGTATTTGTTCTCTATCACCATGTTTTGTTCGTTGAACTCCGTCCCAGCAGCCGACCAGCGATAATCCATCCAGATAAAGGACATACGATGTTGAAAGTTGATGCGGAACCCTTCCATGTAGAAATCGGTAAGAACATTGTTGCGCTTTATCATGTCATCTGTGGACAGGTTCGTGTGAAGGAGACCAGCCAGATCAGTGAGCAGAACCCTGCTGTGCCACAAAGCGGTATTCTGGCACTAAATCTTGTGGCCCGGTGCTTCTGCCATCGCAATGTAGACGTTCTTTTGCGATGATAGTGCACACCTCTTAGCTGGGGCTCAAGTAGAACCAATACGGTGCCAGTGGGAAGCCTCTTCCTCGCATTTTATGCTATTCGGATGTAGTGAGCAAGAGAAGGCAAACTCAGTCATAGTATGTGTTATTATGTGTCGGTCGACTGCAGCTGTGACCAAGGACACAATAGTTCCTTTACACATGATCAAACCCTTGAGCCGGTGGCGATTCCTCATAACTCCAGTAAGAACCGGTCGATGGATCATGTCGTACAATGCCTTTTCTGATGGGACAAAATTGTAGAGCGTATAGGTAGCGACCCATGAGTATATCTGCGAGAAAAATTCCCCCAGGAGGTCGCGATCGTCTCTTTGGCTTACCTCCTGCTTGTGGACGGGGTTCTCGCCAACCTGTCCAGGTGTAGAAAGCTGCTCATGTGTAACGCTGCGTTCGTTGCTGTTGGGGATAGGCAGAGTCGAGGAGGGTTACTGTACAGGAAAGAGAGTGTGCAGTTTGGGTGTCATTGGCGTGGGAAGGGTTTCTGGCGTCAGGGGTAGTTGGCTGAGAGCTTCTTCGGCAGAGTAATCGTTCGTACTTTTCAGCTCAATGTGAGAAGCATTGTTCAGTTGTACATGAGAGTAAAGATTTCCTGGGTCACTGTGACGGCGTTGCAAACGAGTGCAGAGGTGTCCAGAATCGTTCTGGTGACGTTGCCTATGCGAGCGGAAGTCTCCAGGGTCTCTGTGATGACGGTGAGTGACGAGCAAAGATCGTTTTACTTTGGTAAAAACTCAACGACTTCCTCCTGGATAGCGTGCTCAAATCTTGGCTGAGATGAGGGTTGACTTCGCACAGGATATGTCTCAAGAGTTTGGGGTCATGCTCTGCAGTCCAGCATGCGGCCAAAAGGGCGTCCGACTCTAGGTCTTTCCGATCAGATTCTGCCATGTTTTGCTTCTAGAAAAGTTAGAGAAAACCGAGAGAAGAAGTGTGTTTTGATCCACGAAGATGTTTCGATGGCAGGGCCGCAATAACAACAGTTGATAGGCAGGGCGTCTGCTTTCGAGCATAGTATGAGAAGCAAAACATCTCAGTCATGGTGTGACTCGATCGATACCATTGGTAGCTGACTTACGAAGCGGTCTGAGATATCATCTTGGTAACGTAGCATACTTGATAATGTGGGTAAACCTTGTTGTTTATAATACTGTAGACGTGTCTGGCGCCTACAATAGCATTTGTATACTAGGATGTCGAGTATGTCATGCCGCCCAGGTGCATCCCAAGTAGGGAAGGCTGCGTTCTCAACTCACGTAGCTATTGCTGATGCAATGGTACTCCTGTTCCACAACCCCGGGTGAGAGTATCTGTGTATTGTAAGGATGCGATTAGCACGGCGTGTTGAGCATACAGGATTCTGGTAAGGCTCCTATGTTGATATGCGAGCTATTGTTGTAACGGTTTGGGCCTTGCCAAGACCAACTTAGGTGAGAGTTGGGTACGGCTATCGCTACCACGCTTTCTTATCACACACACATATAGATAGCTGCCCTCCTTCATAGCTACACAATGCAACGCAGTCCTCCTCCTCTCCTCACCCCGTCATAATTGTGATTCTATGGTAGCGAGAAGTAAAGCGTGGTTGACTTAACAAGAGAAGAGTTGGGCTATTGTGATGGCTCTGGTTCAGTTGGAAAGGATGCTAAGTGACTCAAGTGAATATGTGGTCTATAATATAAGACGAGAGTTGAGGGAGTGTCCTGTGGTGGGTTGAAGTGGGGTTGAGAAAGTCGGAAGGAGAAATGAGAAAAGCACGTCTTGGGGATCCTTGCTCCTGACCCTTCAGCTTCACAGGGTAAGAGCAGGCTCGATACTTATGTGGTGATATAATTGAGATGACGCATGAGTGAATACGACCAGAAAGCATTGCGTTACCGGGCGACATGACCTAATTAGATGGGGACCCGCTAGGGCGAAACACGGCAGTGCGGCCCAGGAACAGCGGAATAGCAAGTGAGGCTTGTAGTGAACCTTGGAAACCCCAGCTCAGCGACGACCATGACATAAACAAAACTATCAACTACCTGCGCATTCACACCATGCGTCCTTCGCAGCAAGAGACGACATGTGGAAATCGAAATTTGAACTCTGCAGAGCCACCCGAAGGCCTTGGGACATTTGTTTGCGCACCCCAGTGCTCCCCTCGGCGTACCACATCCCCTCATCGATAGGCGTGTCTTGCCGCCAGCATCGCTGCTTTCACGACTACTTCATCACCCACATCCCCTCGAGCTCGCTGCACCCCGACTCGCGCCCTCAACCTGCCCTCCACCACAGCCTCCCGCGTGACAAGAGCACCCCTTACGATGCGGAAAAGTCGAGCCGGTCGCCGGCTGCCGTCATGGGCTCGTCGCGCGACATGACGGTTGTTCGCATACCATTGAAGAGCGCAAAACATCATTTCGGCGTCTCACTATCAAGAGGCACGCGGCCATACAATGAAGATGCCTTTCAAGCAGGCACCATAGACCTCCCCGCTTTTGCAAAACGCCCGCCCATATCATTGAGTGGAAATGGAGGCAGCGAAGGGAATAGCGAGGTTACTCCAGAAGTAGGGGCGACGGGAGATCCCCAGGTCTTCTACTTTGGTGTCTTCGATGGACACGGCGGTTCCGAGTGCTCTGGCTTCCTGAGGGAGCAGCTGCACGACTACCTAGAAAAGGCCACAGAGCAATTCGAGCTCAAGAGCAGCCTCTTGCAAGAGAGGAATGAGACACAAGCCGGCAGCCTGAAAGCAAAGGGCGAGGCTTCTTCCGGAGAGCAAAGGAAGAGGGACAGGGAGAGCTTGGACGCTATCGAGACACATACGCCACCTGGCACACAAGCTATAAAGCCGCCGCAGGCTGGAGGTGGGGACCAATTGCCAACAGCGGGCTCAAAATCCATGGATGGGCCAGTGGATGGTGTCCCATCCGTCAAGCAGTCTGAGAGCGTGCGGAAAGCCGAAGAGCTAGAGCAGCAATTGGTCAAGCAATGGAAGGAGCTAGTTGGCGGATACTTTCGGCGATTCAAGCCCGAGTATTTCTCGCTGTCTGCCGGTGGGCGAGGTCACCCTGCTGAGAAGGACGTGATTGAGAAGCGTCACACAAGCACGCCAGAGATACCAGATGACACCAAAGAAGGCATTGGCATTGAAACTGTCCTCGAGTACGCTTTCCTCAAAGCCGACTACGACTTTGTTGCAGCTCAGGTTGGCAAAAAGGAGGAGGATCCCGTGCGCGCAGATAAGGCTCTGAACGACGATGATATCCTCGGCCAGCCCTCACGCACCACTACCAAGCAGATTGGAGGCACAAAACGCTTCAAGGGTGGTAGCACATGCAGTGTGGCCCTCATCTCTACACCTACACCATCACCCTTTTGGCATCCATCATCACCTTCTTCCCTCATCATAGCACACGTGGGCGATACCAGGATCCTCTTGTGCAACACGGCCACCGGACTAGCTGTCCCGCTGACATCGAACCACCACCCCGCCTTACCCGAGGAAGCCACTCGCCTTCGACGTTTTGCTGCATCGTTTGTCACGGACTCCTTTGGCGAGGAGCGCATGTCTGGACTCGCTAACACGCGCGCGTTCGGCGACATGGCCCACAAACGCGTCGGAGTGTCGGCAGAGCCTGAGATTCGTAGGATAGAGCTCTCGCCTGCCGAGTATTCCTTCCTCGTCTTGTGCTCCGACGGCGTATCTGGTCACCTGTCTGACCAAGAGATAGTCGACATTGTCAAAGAGGCAAAGACACCAGAACAGGCAGCTCGGGACATTGTCAGCTTTGCCGTTGAGACGGCAACAGGCAGTGAAGGCGCAGATAATGCGACTGGGTTAGTTGTCCGGCTGGGTGGATGGGAGAGGAGGGGCGAAGGGGGACTGGGTAGCCTGGGTACCAAGGAGATGCGAGATTGGCGGAAGCAGGAAGCAGAGAACCCTAGAGCATCGGGACGCATGTAGACGCCTCGCCTAGAGATTTCCTATGTTTATTAATAGCGCTCCTCGTAGTGCGGGCTTGCATTTTCGGCGTTTAGACGGGTCGACATTGGATAGGTAGGGTATGGCATTATGATAGACATGATGCTGTTTGAAATCAAGTGCATACCGCCTCGTGATTTTGTAAGCAGATGGACTCTGGAAGCGAGAATGAGGCTGCTGGACTGTCTCAGACGCCTCGAAAAGTCCAGTCCCTATTACAGACAGACGTCTGTGCAGGCCTGTCTCACTATCATCATGGCTTCCGCAGGGCTGCATGCGGGAGGGCGAGCTTGAATCTGGGGGGTAAAGCACGATGCGCAAGCGAACCAATGCGGCGTTGCCAGGCGGACCTTCTTTCCCTCAGAAGGTGCGCGAAGGCTGACATTGGTGCCTGAGCGAACAGAGACAGTAACTTGATCGGCCTGTCTTGCCCATTTGCCCATCGTCTCAATCAAACATTTCGTTTTTCTTGTTGCTTGTTGGCTTTGTTCAGCTCAAACGATAAACTTGCCCGTCCGCTTTCAAAAGTTCCTTTCTCTTGTAGTGGGGCAGACCCTTGGGAGCAAAACAACACGTGAACTAGGCCTGTCGACGTTCGACCTTTCTTCCGCCTCAAATTCCCTCCCTACTACGCTCCTGTCCACCGCAACTCTTCGACATCGTCGACCACACTGCCGCAGCACCTTGTTCTTCTCCCGCCACCGCGGTTCTATAACCTTCCCACCTACTAGATACCCCGCCTTGAGTCTTTGAAGCGCCCTTCAGCAATCATGGATATCAACCAGGTGTTGGAGGGGACCTACGCTGCCGGTATGTTGCTCTCACCGCGTTTCCTTTTTTTTCAAGCACATCTCGACTAACTTGACTGCAGATGCCAGCATTCGTAACAGCGCCGAGCAGCAGCTCCTCCAGGCTGCCGACACCAACTTTGTAAGTTTCCCCCCGCAGTTCCAAGGCTGCATGTACATTGCGCGAGACATGGCCACTAACAGGCTGGTTCTTTGTAGCCACAATACCTCACTGTCCTCGGCAGCGAACTCGCCAACGAACAAGCCGCTCCTCAAATTCGACAGGCGGCCGCGCTGGCCCTGAAGAATGCTTTCACTGCACGCGAGTACGCCCGGTTACGGCAGGTCCAGGAAAGATGGCTCAACCTCGACACCCAAATCAAGCAGGAGGTCAAGCAAATGGCCCTTCGCACACTGGCCACATCGAACAAGAATGTAGGCTCGGCTGCCGCACAATTCATCGCTTCCGTCGCCGCCATCGAGATACCCCGCCACCAGTGGCCCGAGTTGATGACCCAGCTCGTCGAGAACGTCGGCCAAGGCAGCGACAGCCAGAAGCAGTCGTCCCTCACCACAATCGGCTTTGTTTGTGACACAGACGATGCCGAGCTGAGGGACGCGTTAGCACACCACTCCAACGCGATCCTGACGGCCGTCGTCCAGGGTGCCCGCAAGGAAGAGACCAACGCCGACGTCCGTGTAGCCGCCATCAACGCTCTCAGCGACTCGATCGAGTTTGTTCGCTCCAACTTTGACAATGAAGGCGAGCGCAACTACATCATGCAGGTCATCTGCGAGGCCACACAGGCCGACGACAGCCGCATCCAGCAGGGTTCATACGGATGTCTTAACCGCATAATGGGTCTCTACTACGACAAGATGCGCTTCTATATGGAGAAGGCACTCTTTGGTCTCACAATCCAAGGAATGAAGAGTGATGAGGAGGACGTCGCCAAGCTGGCTGTTGAGTTCTGGTGCACCGTCTGCGAGGAAGAGATTGCGATTGAGGACGACAACACACAGGCCCAGGCCGAAGGCTCGACTGAGCTGCGCGAGTACTTCAACTTTGCCCGAGTCGCTACCCAGGAAGTAGTTCCTGTGCTACTGGAGCTTCTCGCCAAACAAGACGAAGACGCCGATGATAACGAGTACAACACCTCCCGCGCAGCATACCAATGTCTGCAGCTGTGGGCACAATGTGTAGGAAGTGGTGTAATGCCTCCGGTTCTTGCTTTCATCGAAAAGTACATCCGCTCAGAAGACTGGCATTATCGTGATGCGTCCGTCTCCGCTTTCGGTGCGATTATGGAAGGTCCCGAAGAATCAGTGCTAGACCCTATTGTTAAGCAAGCCCTGCCTACTCTAATTGGTATGATGGACGACCAGAACATGTGTGTCAAAGACTCGGCCGCTTACGCTCTGGGCCGTATTTGCGAAGCTGTTCCCAGTGCGCTTGACGCACAGCAGCACTTGCCTCCTCTGATCGGTGCCCTATTCAATGGCCTCGCTAGCAACCCCAAGATGGCTGCATCATGCTGTTGGTCGCTGATGAACCTGGCTGACAGGTTCGCTGGGGAGCCGGGATGCGAGACCAACCCCCTATCGCCTCATTTTGCTCAGAGTGTACAGAGCCTCCTGCAGGTTACCGAGCGAGCCGACGCCGACAACACATTGCGCACGGCAGCGTACGAAGTACTCAACTCCTTCGTGAACAACGCTGCTGGCGACAGCGTTCATCTAGTCAACGAGCTCGCCAACGTGATCCTCGAACGCCTAGAAAAGTCCATGGCGCTCCAGTCGCAGGTTGTGAACGTCGAGGACAAGCTGACCCTGGAGGAGATGCAGACCAGCTTGGCGAGTGTCATCATGGCTATCATCCAGCGGATGGAGAATGATATTGGGCCTCAGGCAGATCGCATTATGCAGGCCTTGCTAAGTCTGCTGTCGTCTCTGCCACCCAAGTCTAGTGTCCCGGATACCGTATTTGCTGCCATTGGATCAATTGCGACGGCCCTTGAAGAGGATTTCCAAAAGTACATGGAGGCCTTCTCTCCGTTCTTGTACAACGCCCTCAACAACCAAGAAGAGCCTGCACTTTGCTCCATGGCCATCGGTCTGGTAGCTGATATCACTCGATCATTGGGCGAAAAGGTTCAGCCCTACTGCGACGCCTTCATGAACGCTCTCTTGAACAACCTTCGGAGTCCAGCCCTGGGTAACCAGCTCAAGCCGGCTATTCTGCAATGCTTCGGTGATATCGCGCATGCTATCCATGGCGCGTTCGAGACCTACCTGACTGTTGTTGCACAGGTACTCCAACAGGCTGGCCAGGTCACTCTGACGACCGACGGCAACTACGAGATGATTGACTACATCACTTCTCTTCGGGAAGGTATCATGGACGCATGGGATGGATGCATTGTTGCGATGAAGAGCAGCGGCAAGAGTAAGCCATAGCATCCTTGTCTGGTCACCACTTTCTAACATCTCCAGCTCAACTCATCACTCCTTATATGGACTCGATCTTTGACCTCCTGAGAACTATTCAGGCGGATAGCAACCGCACTGAAGCCCTCCTCAGGTCTTCATGCGGTGTTATTGGGTGAGTCTAGCTATATCGCCTTGAATCACACATTGCTAACCTGTTCAGTGATCTTGCCGATGCCTTCCCGAACGGTGAATTTAGGGAGTACTTCCGACACGACTTCCTGACCGCAATGGCGAGGGAGACGCGTGCGAACGCGGACTTTAGCGGTCGAACACGTGACACCGCTCGATGGGCACGAGAACAGATCAAGCGCCAGATTGGTACGTTGGTCAACAACCCCTACCTCCGCCCTGCTCCTTTCTACCATCAGTAGAGGCGTTGTTCCCATATATATATTTGTAGCCTGCTGACCCCTGTTCTTCAGGCGGCAACCAAGCCGTGATGGCCTGAGTGCTCTGATACCCCTTCCCACCCCCTGCACGTGCGCTTGAGCTATGGATTGGTCATCACATTGGATATCCTCCCACGCGGAGGCATTATCTACTGTATGGCTGAGACGTAGGTTCCAGGTTTTCCCTGCTCCACACGGAGTAACGACGACCTACAGAACACGTTTCTAATCGCACCCGACATAATTTGGACCAAAGGTGCCAATGGATGGTTACCCCGGACCGAATCCTATTCATGATCTGCGCAACCGAGTACACGAGGACCAAGTACGTGAGGACGAATATCAGGATGACCATTTCCCATATGGGAGACAGTTTGTTCTCTTTCCCATGGGTCCTCCATGAAAACACTATGCCATCGCCCCGAGTATGAAGACCTGCCTACGACATGTCGAGTACAAGAGTAGCAAGGATGCCCAAGAACAAGCCCCTTCAGCACGTACCTGCCCAAAGCACTTCAACCACGCGGCACCCAACCCCAACCCAACACCCATGCGTATTCCCCAACGACCGCCAACCCAAATCGCATAGCACCCATCTCCAGCACCATCATGTAGCACCAAAAGTCTTGTAGGCAGTAGCGTATATCGTCATATTGCCAGGAGAAGAATACATCCAATCGTCCTTTTTTCTTCCGCTTCTTCTTTTTTCTTCATCTTCACACACTATCGGGTTTAACTCTCCCCGAAGTTCCAAGTGCGTTTATACCACTTTGCTTTGTAGTAATGGTGGGTATAAATGGGGATATAGGTGTAATGGATACTATATAGACTTGATTGATGTTGTGTGGGTGATTCAAGTGATGAGTGTTGCCGGCCTGTGGTTTTGAACGTTGTACCATCCTCGGTGCAGGAAGCAATCCTTTCGCCTATTAACATGCTGAAATAGAGCTTCTCAAATATAGGTAACAGGTGGTGGTACAAGTAAAGTACTGAAACAGTTATGTCAAGACATTACATTATGGTCTTGTCTCTAGCCATGTTACCATGTTTTACAGCTTTTACACATTTAGCCACAGAAGCCGAGTGGGGTAGTAGTGGTGAGAATATGTATACGAATAAAGGAAACAACACATAGCCTCTCGACCACGTCCCCACTTTATCACAGCCCGCAAACTCTCCCCCCAAACTATTCCCCTCTCACAACTCCTTTTTCAAAAAGTGCTCAGGCCGATGATCAGTCTCATAATCCACGTGCACATAGGCACGCTCCACATCAGGCAGACTCTCAAGCTTGATTTGAAGCTCCTCTGCTATGTCGTGTGTGCTGCGGAGAGTGTCTTCTGGATCCATGACAATGTCTACTTCGACGATGAGGCGGGGGCCGGAGTGGTAGGCACGTACGGTGTCGATTTGACGGATTTGGGGGGAGTGTGTCATAGCTAAGACAGACTGTAAGCTTCAGTTGGGGAAAGGTGGTGGTGGGAAGGTGGAGAAGGAAGATGAGAAAGGAGAAGACCAAACTTACAAATATAAGTAATATGCTGCAACATGCCCGTATCAGCCGTGACCCCAATCAACAGCTGAAACTCGCTATACGCAGTCCTACTCCACAAAAAGATGATTAAAACACTCAAAATCATGGCGCCCATGGGATCAATCCACCACTTCAACTTACTCCCCCCGACACTCGTCAAGATACCAAACCCATTAATAAACAAATCATTCCTGTGATCCTCCCACAGAATACGCACTTGACTGTACTTATTCCTGATGGCCCAACAGTACAGAAACAAGCTGAACTTTGTGCTAAACGCCACTGCAACAGCAATCACGGACGGCAGGAAGAAATCATTCGTCTCGGGCCCGCTGTGCTCGGCAACTGTACGAATAGATTCTACGATGATGACGACGGAGACGGTGATCATGAGCGCGCAGAAACAAAGGTTACCGGCTGTTTCTATGCGCGCTTTTCCAGAGGGGAACTTTCGCGCGTCGACGCGGGCGACGGCGCGGTTACACATTATCAGCGTGAGATTAGACAGAGGGTCGAACAGTGAATCCGCCATTGTGGTGAACAGCGACAGCGACTTGGAACTCACAGCCGCATACAGTTGCAGGACCGCGAGCAAGATGTTTGCGGCAAAGGAACCGATGACAGCGATCTTGTATTTCAAATGGTTCGCCGTGTCTTCTTCTTTTGCGGCGCGCCGGTGGTCAGCGACTGGTTTGAGGAGCCGCTCGATGTTTTCGTTTTGCGACGAGTAGAAGGCTTCGAGTTTCTGGGCTGAGCGCGCGGTGCTGTTTAGGGTGAGGGGACCGCCGCAGCCGTCGCGCTTGCGCGAGGTGTTTGCGCGGATGAGAGCGAGTTCGGATTCCGGCTTTATGGCTGAGGAGAGCGAGTATGGATCGTTGTCGGGGGTGTAGGAGGGCGGGGATTGCGATTCGAGATCATCTTGCGAGCGGGGGATGTGGCGTGCGATGGGGTCGTGGGTGTTGGGTGCGTGTTGGGTGGTTTCTATCGCGGTACTACTAGCGGCTTGTTTGGTGGGTGTTGGGTGCGAAGTGCTGCTGCTGCCGTGGTGGTGGTGGTGTGGGCTTGAGGTGCGTTCTATGCGGTCGGGATGCGTATGGAACGGGTGGGGTTTCATGGAAATGGCCCGATGGAGATCGGGCTCTGACGACATGGTTGATACGGGTGGTTTGTATCAGATTGATTTGGCGGGGTGTTTTGGGGGAGGGGTGGTAATGGCAGAGGCGACGCGTGTGCGTGTTTGTTGGTGTGATGGTGAAGGAGAGGTTTGCTTAGATTATTTATCACGGATCTGACTGCGCTCGCTGGAGGGAGGGGCAGCGCAGCGCAGCGGCGTGTAGGCTACTATGGTAGGTCCGAAGGACCAAGTTAGCCAAGTAAGGCGTGGCAGAGTCTCAAGCGTCCACGCTTGCTTGTACGTGGGGAAGTGTGCCGGTGAGGGTTCGTAGATGCTTGTTAATCGTCTATCTAGGTAAAGTACAAAGAACCTGGCGCATACCTAACCATTCAATCATCAGCATGCATATGTGTTACAGAACCCGTCGATTACACTCGCACTACCCTACTCTTCACCTGTCACATCTGTCATTCGAACTATCAAGCGACTACCATAGTACATCACATCGCCGTAGGCACCATGAAAGCCTGAAGTAGCGCCGGTACCGGTAGTCTCCATAACAAACTCTAATCTTATCAATCGCTGATTGGCCAAAACGCCGCAAAAGATCCCGCTCCATCTCCGTCTCCGTCCCCCAAGCCCGTCTTTTAGTACCTTGGCGAAGCGCCAAAGCAAGAAAAGAGTTGGTATAGAGTCTTGGATGCAAATATTTAATACTCTTAGTCTGTCGTGGCATGATATCCACCGACAATGACATGGCAGCCAGCCAAGATATAGTTAGGCGGCGGTGGGCTTTGGTATGATGTTAAGTTGAAGATACTGTGGGGTACATGTACCTACGTATCTTGAAATCCTTGCCTCCTGCCGGTGACTTGGATCTTGGGTTGACGAGGATTAGCATTTATACTGAGGTCTTGGAGTTCTCTCGGTTTTGCACACCGAACGTGTTGATCTTGTAGGTTACAACAGAGATATAACGATGCTACTGAGGTCTTCTGCGGATTCCCATCGGATTAGATGCCGTGCAGAAGAGGAGATCTACATGGATTATTTGTCAAGCATGGGAAGCGTGGGCACGTGACGTTTTTCTTGGACGATCGCCATAATGCTCTATTTCTATATGTATCGACATATGACCTTCCCCATTCAGCTCCACTAGACTGCTTACATAGCGTTATCAGAGTCCACATTAATTTCACTCACGTGATGGTCATTTTTCATTGTACATAATTTCAACTGACGTTACATAATGCAGTGAGACGGCCAGCATGAAAGACATGCATAGACTACGGAACGACTTCGGAACGACATTGATGATGCCTCTACCACGAAGGAGAAAGATACGGCAGCCCAGTTTCGCATATGACTAGCGGGGTTGTGGAAGTAGCGAGCCGTCAGGCAGCTGGCTCGTGGGGCAAGATACCACAGCCTCGCCTACACGAAGAGAAGCCCCACGATCGACGTTGTATGTGAAACAAGTAGTCAGTATCGGAAAAGGTGTTCCAGTGTTGATCATCCTGTGTACCCCGCTGATGCAGCCCTTGGCCTCGTCGACCATCATCTTCGCTTATACCGACGCCTCCAGGTCCCATGGAGACCTCGTGTAGACGTGTTCCCGCGTCTGAACCACCACCGGCTGTTATCGGTTATTTCGGTATATCCTTGAAACCAACAGAAGCCCACGCGGACTCTCCAGATGAATTCATACGTCTAGTCGGATTGTGGGGTCACCGGTTGTGACCGGGCCGGTGGCTACTGAGTATGCGCTCTGTATTTTGGGCCACGGAGACGGCACCTTGGCGTTCAACTTGCCGCATCGCTCCCGGTTCCCCTGTTCCAATAGCTAAACACAGCCTTACGGTCTACTTCCTGTGCACGGACACGTGATTCGCGTTCGGAAGCTTGTAAGGGCTTAGTTCCCATGCATCCAACATGCCCCACCGGGCCCGGGATCCTGTGCTGCACCCACATACTCGTAATCAGTTGCGATTCCGAAGGGGGTTTCCAGCATGTCTGGTAGGTTGGTGTCCCACATCATGTCGTCCCAGAAGTTGTTTAGGATAGCTGGGTCGTTGCCAGTGTTTACCCAACCGGGCGTTGCGGGGTTGTATTGGATGAACGCAGGTTGTTGTTGCTGTCCATAGTTTGTCGTTTGCGAGTTGGTCATGGCAGGACAATTTGATGTGCCAGGTACAGGAAAATGTGTATGTGTCTGAGTGTGGCATGGTTGTTGATACTGTTGAGGGTAGGGCATTTGCGGCACTGGGGTTTGTGTTTGTTGAGATAGTGTCGAAGCCTGTGTCTTGTACGCGGCATATAAGCGCGCAACAGCATCTTTACTCTTCTTCGCGGCTATACTCCAATCTTTGACCGCCTCGAAGAAGTTCAATGCCGTCTTGATACTGGCCTTCCACTTTTCTACTTCTTCAGGTACACTTGGGTCGCTGAAGAGAGAAACAAGCGGGACCATACAGGCTTGGAAGCAGAACCAGACTGCGTTCCAGCCTGAGAGGAGATCGGGCATGCAGTCCCGGCTTATGTCTTCGATTGTCTTGCAAGCAATGAACCTACATTTTCCTACCGACACCTTTTCATCTGCACTGAGGCTAGCCCATGAGGCGTGCCGGAGTGCTGTGGTAAGGAGTATGGGTCGGTGGAGTATGATGCGGATGTTTTGGAATCGCCATTTCATCACCAACCGGGTACGGCGGAGGAAATTTGGGCATGGTTCGTCAGGTTTGGACAGCATAGAAGGCAGGTCTTCGTGCCACTTCACAAGCTGTGCGTCGTAGCTAGCCGTTTCCACCGAAGACAGGAGGGGACATTCGACAAGACGGTCTTGGATCTTGGTTGCGATCTGGCAGAATGCTGATGCGTGAATTATAGGGAGAATTTTGAGTTGCTCGATGTATTGAGGACTGTTAGGAGGCGGTATAGTTTGAATCTATAAGCCATGTCAGTCTGAATCAGATATAAAAACACCTTTGTAGAGACTTACGGCGTTGGCTGCAGTGCCAGGTCTCATGACCGTAATCGAGGGACCCATTCTTCCCAACGAAGGCCTGCCCGTTGTTGTCGACGCCCACGAGTCTAGACAGAACAGACTCCACCATATACGTCGCCTCATCTCAGGGGATATCGAGTCTTCCTCACTCACACCCTTCGTTTGTCGACTTGCATCGCTTCTTTCCGAATACTCGCGATGTAAGCCTAGCGCAGTCGCCATGCGTAGCGTACCACCCATGAGCGAGTGGGCTTCGTTAGGGCGATTGAGATAGTGCATGTAGTATCCACTCATGATAGCTAAAGCTTGAAGGACCTCCAGGTTGCCACTGCCGAATGATTCTAGAGATAAATGCTTTCGTGAGCGAGTAAAGTAGATATGGTGGGTCTCATTGTCAGCAGCTTGGGATGCAAGCGAACCTAGAGCAAAGACCATGTTCAAGAGTGCTAGCCATGGTGAGTCGCTACGATTGTTGTAGAGATAAGTAGACCAGAATTTGCGTTCATCAATCAACGGGAAGAAAGGATGTACACGGTCAAAGTAACTCTCAATGAGTTGTTGGCCGTGCTCCGGGAGGTGGTAGTGCGTCTGGTCTGTCATCTGCGAGTCCAGGTGGCGGAGAACTTGCCCGGCTTGGTAGCGCTGTTTCCTGGTTGTTGTTTGAAATAAACGATCGTGCCTGGGGTGCGCATCGTACAATGACCTTCAA